GGAGGTCTGCGCTCTCTGACTGCTTTTCTAGTTCTTAAATCTATTTTTGATATAAGTTTTAGTTGGGTAGAACCTATGGACAAGTTTGAAGGATACTTCTTTTACTTTGTTAGTAATTAAATACCTGTTAGGTAAAAGCCAGACTTTCTTCCATGGTAGGTCATCCACAAACACATTCCAGTATGAAACGACATTGGGTTTTGCAAATAACTCTTTTTGAAACATAGCTCTTACAGCTCGATTGTTATCGATAGGATTATTGGTGAGGCAAACCTTCCCTGCAGGTAAGTCTTTAAGTGATGAAAGAGTTAGCTCTTCAGTATCAATCCTACTTCAATTTTGAAATAACATACACACACCTGAGGGAATGGCTCCAAAAACTTTTGCATAGTCACCCGGAGTAACAGGGATAAATTCTCTGTATGTAAACAATAGTCCTTCCTCATTAAATAGTTGGTCAACCCATATGATGTTGTTTTGAAAGCAGTAATCCAAAAAGAGAGATCTATGTTTATACAAAATGTCTTTGTTATTCCAAATCAAGTAGTTGTGAGGAGAGAAATTATGCTTGTAGATGAGAGACCATGAGAGAAAAGCCTGACATTTTCACAGGGATCTTATCAACATCAAAATTACAGATAAGAAAAAAGTTCATGCCTCCTAGTTTGGATGATAAATATGAAGGAATAGTGTTCCAAATAGAAGTGGGATTTCTGAAAACTTGCTTTATCCAATTTATCTTAAATGTAGTCTTAAATGAGTTTGAAAATCTAAAAAGTTAAGTCCACCATTGTCGTAAGGATTCATAACAACAGCCTTTCTCAAATAATGTGTCCTGTTTTACCACATAAAGTCAAAAAGTACTTTATCAATTTCCTTGAGAGTTTTGTCAGTAAGATGCAAAGCTAAAGCAGCATATGTTAATCGTGAGATTCCCTCCGCCTTTTGGATCATTTCGTTGAATTTTTGTTGTGCTTAACTTTGAACTCTATTTTTTTTTTTTCCCTCAAACTTGTTTTATTATATGTCAAACAGTCAAGTGTGAGTGAGTGAACGAGTGAATAATAATAATAAATATAGCCGCAAGTGGCAATGATCGGCCCTCGTGCGTGCCTACGCCACGCTCCGCAAAAGCCGCGCCCTGCAAATGCCGTGCCCCTCAGAACGGCGTGCCCTGCACTAACGCTAATAACCCTAAGCTTAAATCTAACCCTAGTAGTAATCCTAATTATAGACCCAACCCTAAGCCTAACTCTTAACCTAACCCATTAATTTTTCTAAATATTTGCATGTGTTTATTGAAAAAAAGAAGAAAAAAAAAAAATCCAAGATGGCGGACTTCTGGTTTGTAAAGGGGCTTGGTCACAATATACATTTTTGTTCTTATTGCCATGATGCATCTGGCTACCAAATTTGGAGGACGTCCCATTGGCAAGGACATAATTTTGACTTGTTACCATGGCAACACAATGTAAATGGGGTGTGGGTGTCATTGAGTTTTTTTAATCGAAATCATGTAACAAATACCACATTTTGTGTATCTATGACAAATAAAACCTTATTTTTCCATACTAATTTTCTAGGGGGCGCTATTGCACCCATTTTACTTACATCAATCTGTTCAGGGTCGAGGTGTGAACCCACGATTCAAATTTGAGTGTTTGTACAAATTATCAGGCGTCGAAATTTGATGGTGAGCCCCAAAAAACAAACCCGAAATTTGCACCGTTGCCACGGCAACATCGTTTGACCTTTTAAAAAGCTTTTAACAACTTTTAATGTCCCACTTGTCTAGATGATACAGAATGATTCTGTCTGGGTCAAACGCCCAAGGACGAGTTCGTTCAAGTACGAGGACATGTTGCATGATCAATCGAATATGGCCAACTTCCTGTTGGTTGCCTAGCAACTGCATAATATACTTTTTTGCTCCTATTCCCATGATGCATCTGTGTACCAAATTTGGTTTGGTTACACCAAAGTTTTTTTTGGGAGTCCTATTGGCGAGGGCAGATGTTTAACCTGTCACCATGGCAATATGATGGGAAATGGCATGCAGTCGTCATTGACTTTTTTGATTGAGATCATGTCATGAATCTGTGTACCAAATTTTATATGTCTACAACAAAGTAAATGTTTGCACTACCATGCAATTTCCCTAGAGGGCGCTATTGTGCCCATTTGAGATTGTCTTATATAAATCTGTTCAGGGTCAGGGTGTCAATCAACGATTAAAATTTGAATGAAATCGGCCAAAGTTTGTGCCAGAATTTGTAGATTTTACCAATGGAGAATTTATGTCATTGCTATGGCAACGCCATAAAAAATATGACATGGGTGTCACTGAATTTTGGATCAGGATGCCAAAATGGAATTTTGTGCAAAATTTCAGAAATTTTTGAACAACTATTTGGGAACAAATGATTTTCTTCCATATTAAATTTTGTGTCAATCTATAGGGGGCGCTAATGCACCAAATTCATAATTTTGATGTGAAGTAGCTTCAGGGCAGAGAGTTTAACAACTGTTTCAAATTTCATTGAAATCAGAGTTTGTTTGAGCAAATGGGAGCAATTTGTAAATCTCCAAAATTGTGAGCATTTTTTGTTGCTTCACTGCTCAGAGACCGTAAGACGTGTGTGAATAATTTGAATAACTTTTATTGTTCTACGTCTTGAGATAATGTGGACCAAATTTGAGCTCGTTCGGGTGAACGCCCTCGGAGGAGTTCGTATGGATGGATGTATCTAATCATAAGATTTCCTCCACACTTTAGAAGCATGTGTCTGTGTCATGAGTGGTAGACTCTACAGGGCTTAGAGAGGAGAAGTACCCTTCCATTTTCACTTTGAGACCTTGACAGATACGGAGTACGACTACACATGTGTCACTTGTGGTTTTCACCCGCCTGTTGTAGTAATGGATCTACACAGAAAAGGTGTTTTTAAGCTGGAAGGTAAATAGTTGTAATTTTTTTTTCTGCCTCAGCTGTTTTAATTTATGGTGGGTTTTGTTGCAGTGAGTGACCTCAACGCTCCTGAGAAATATAACGGGGAGCAGGACATCGACGGCTTTTGGAATTCCGTCCATCTGGATATGATAAGCCGGGGATTTTTCACAAGTGAGGAATTGCCAATATACCAATATTGCACCTAAATGAATACAACTGTTTAAAAATCTGGACAACAAAAAATACTATTGTTATTTTTACCTAGGTGGTGCCAAAAATCCATTTGTGGTCAAACCCAGCTATGACCATTGGGCACCCTGGATTGGAGCAGAGACAAGGCAAGGTGGCACTGTTCTTAACCCGGAGTTTAAAAAGCTCAGAACAGCCCCATCTGCAGGTGAGGCCCAACTCCACTGCGTATCAGAGGATCGGCTCATAGATGAGCTTGCCAAACAAAAGGTAATGGTATTTCTAAAATCGTTCAGTGTGCAAAGAATTTGCAAATGTCACTGAAAGACCATGTACTCTTTGTCAATGACTTTGTCAGGTTGGAGTTGTCAGGAAACTTTGCAAATCATGCAGTGTTGACACAAAGGGTCTTGACCTCATCACCAGGCTGTGGGAGCACATGAAAAACAGGCAGACCTTTGACAAGGTCTTTCAAAGGATATGGGGTGCATCTGGTGAGTTACATTAGCACTCAGTGAGTTATGTTTTTGACACTGTAAATGTGTGTAGATTTGTTTACCTGCATAATGCAAATTATTATTATTACTGTAAGTGCATATTAGATTACACACTAAACAATCTGTTAAAGCTTTGTTTCAGGGGGGTGCTCTGTGATTCTCTGCCCACATGGTGTCGGTGGAGAGTCCCAGAGACTTTGCAGACCTCCTCCTGTCATGGAAGCATTTTCCAAATGTTTCCATATATGACTTTGCCAGAGGTTTAGCAACCCATACCAACTTATGAGTGCCAGAACAACTGCCCTTCCAGCCACATGAAGGTCGCTTGGCTGATCCTACTGAGGAGAACATAAAGGCAGCCATGAAAGGGACTCTGCAGTCAATCTACCCTGGCTGCAGGAGAAACTACATGAGAAGACACAAGACAAGGCACATCCTGTGACGGGGTCATCAGCACACTACTGCCTTTATGATCGATTCCATGAAGACAATGCATCAGACCCTATGGACAGGCTACGCAGAATTGGCATAGTCCCTGAATTAAAAGGGTGGCTGAATAGCCAGGTGGTGGAGCAGTTCTTTCCAAAAATGTGAAAAAATAACTATTTTATGAATAATATGAATCCTTCAACTCACATTTTTTTAATGAGACATATTATTCACTGCCACAACACTGCCACCAACAATCGGCTCTTGGAGAAACAGCTAACTGCTCCATTCTGTAACCCTGTCCAAATTTGCTATGCTCATCATCTTTGTGTCCCCCATGCAGCCAAACCAATGACTGACAAGGCGTCAAACTCTGACTGTAAGTTAAACAAAATACTCGCAAAGTTTACATAGTTGAGAATACACACGTTACTTGGAGTAAGACATGCTACATGCACTTTTCATTATCTATTAGATGCTGGTTCCGCACATCATTGTGGGCAACAGTGTGAAATGCTGACTGCCGTCATAAACCTTAGGCCCTGCAGCTCCTCCTGGGTCCAAAAGGAGAACATCCCCTCCAGGAACAGCTGTTACATGACTATATCATTTGTGGATTCATTTGTGACTGGACATAGATCAACTGTGAACAATGGATTTTATGTTGATTGTTCAAGTAAAGCATTTATCGTGCCATTTTTTTTAAATTAGGTCAATTACATTTTGAATGAAAGTGGGCCACCTCAAGAAATAATGGTGAAGGATGGTCCAACCTGCTTGACTAGGGAGAATCTGTAAAGTCTAGGACTTAACAGGGAAATAGACTCTGTAGTGAGTAAAAGATGTGTTTGTAGCAAGAAGATTTCCCCCTCTACAATCAAACATCTTAACATACCACCACATAATCCCATAAGTTTAATATGTATGTATTGTTATGTTTCTGTATGTCCACAGGTGGGAAATGCTTGCTTGAGGTTGGTGAAAGAGATATCCCAACTTCAGGTATGTGTATATTCATATTTGAGTGGATAATATGCGAGTTGAATTTAGCATAACAAAGCATGACATTTTCTTCTGTAGGGGAAAAAGGTCTTCATTATGGACCTCCATATACCCCCTACCTGGCTACCACCCAGGGGCTGTGACCCTCTGCTGAGTCTTCCAGTAAGTACAATATAAATACACATTGAATATAGTTAAAAAATAAGACTTGCACTGACAGCACAACATCCTTGTTTAAGGTGGATGCCACAGAGACTGTGCTGGTGTTCCCACTTTGGACTCCAGGGCACTACTTGCTTTGTGTAAGTATCAACAAAGTGACACTGTGACATTGTTAATGACAAGATGGCCCAAAAAACATCTTGCTTTTATGCTTGAACAGTTGGAACATCTGATATGTAATTCTAACATTGACTATTTTGCCCTTTCTGAAACATGGTTACACAGTTCTTCCCCTGATTCAGCGATATCCTTCCCAGGCTTCAGTACTTTCAGGAAGGACAGGGATAAGGGTAAAGGAGGTGGTGTGTTATTGTACATTTCAAATAAATACAAACGTAACCAAATATTGTGGCCTAGTCACATCAAGTTAGAATGTGTGGGTGTAGATATTCTTCTTTCAGCTGAAATGTCATTCACTGTTATCTGTCTTTATCAAAAACCTTCTGCTAAAATAGACTTTTATGCCCATTTCAAAGCCCTCCTAAATATGTGCAACCACAAAAAAGCAATAATTCTAATAGTGGATTTCAATATAATCTGGGTTGACAAAAAGGACAGGGAAAAACTCAAATTAATAACTGACCAATTTAATTTCACTCAGCTAATACAGCATCCCACAAGAGTCACTCATCGTTCAGCACAAACACAAAATTTATTGATCAGTCTTTCTGATCATAACGCAGTCTTCTGTTTGAGAAAACTAAGTAAACAACGTTTTGAAAATTCAATTACAAATCATCCAAATAAGCAATCAAAATTCAATATTATACCAAAAAATCAAGAAAAAAACATGTAAAGAGCATTAAATGTCTTGAATTGGGGAAATGCATTGTCAACTGATGATACTGACACCTGTTGTGAATTATTTCTTTAAAAAATTCAGGAAGTTAGTCAGTCCTTTTCTAAAACCATAATTAATAGGAAAAAAAATTTACTTTCTTAAATGGTTGAACTCAGAGTGTTTAAAATTAATGAAAATGAGGAATCAGCTACTTAAAAAATGTATTAAATCAGGGTTGACTATTGATAGACTAAATTATACATCTATAAGAAATAAAGTATCATCTGTAAGAGGACTGACCTCTGACCTATGGAAGATGTGAAATCATGGCTGTTGCCATGATATCTTAGGGAATAGACTTGCACAAAGTTTGGACAACAGCCTCTGACGGGGGTTCACTTTGATGACACTATACCCCTCCCCCACTTGCTTGAACCTCCCTATCTCGGACCTGTCACCCAAGCAAGATTTACCAAGCTCATGCACTCCCTGCATGAGATAATGCACAAAGACCCCTAAAGGATTAAAGACCTTTTTACAAACTCACTTTTCTACAAAGCTTCACCTATTGATAATTCAATTGACCAAAGTTTGTTCACTGACTATAATCGACAAATTAAAGACTTATGTATAAGTATGTATAAGTAAATAACTCAGTTGTAGTGCTCTGCGTTTAATTTCTAACTCTTCTCTGTATCGCATTGTAACACTAATCTTTAGTACGACATGTCGTACCTGAGGAGGTGGTGGTGCAGAGTGCTGGTGGAGAACCTCAAGATTGAAGGGTATGATTTCTGAATAATTATTTTTTGATTATTATGCAGTTTAAAATTAATACATGTACACTGCAAGGTCAAGACACGTGCTTGTAAATTACAGACATGGTAAAAGAATTGCCCATTATACCATCGAGGGCAGACAGATGGGTGAGGGTAGGCTGGTTCCTGTCTTCCGTGTGCCACGCAAGAAACACAGTAACACTGAGGTAATAACTTAGGGAGATACAAGGTGAAAGTAATATGTGTTTCTGTGACATAAATGGTGAACATAACATTTTATTACCATATTTTAGATACACACACTCCCTGCTAGATGGTGGAAAGATCATGGAGAGGTCCCTGGAATTTTGCAGGCATGCATTTAGAATCACTTTTGACTTGATAGAATAGTCATGTAAGGATTCTATACTAAATCATATTTATCAACAGCTGCCTGAGGACATTTTGAAGAGGGTTTTGATGTTGGTGGTCCTCCAGGATGGTGACCCAGCAATCCTTCACCTCTCTGTCACCTGCAGGCTTTTTCACCAAATTGTCAGCCAGAAGGTTTTCCAGGAGGAGGCTCATTTCAGCTGGCTAGACAGTCAATATATTATCTGACTCTGTAATAAACTTAAAGGAAGATTTTTATTGTGTTTGTTGACTGAATTATTTTCTCTTGTCAGGTGTGCTAAAGTGGAACACACTGTCATCCAGCCACCGGCAGGAGTACAGGAAAATGTACACAATAAGCACATGTCATAGTCTGATGTGCAGAGAATTGTTTAAAGACTGTGGGGCTGGCTACTGTGGCAATGGCAAACGGGGAGTGCTGTGGGGATTTTACTCCTCAAATGATTACCCTGGCTACTACAGTTTTAACTGTTTTTTTTTTAATGATGGAGGCCTGGAGGACTAAGGCATCTTTTCCCAAAGACCAGATCACAACCCTCAGTTGGGTCACAAGAGGTTTTTTTTGGGTGGCCACAGTCTGCATGTATGTCTGTGATAGTTATAGGCATAGGTCCAAACCACGACTATTAACTAAACACATGCTTTTCTTTAATATTACTTTTTATCTTGATATGATCATAAACAATACATTTTGTGCCCTCTTTATCATTAATATTAGTTTGTTCGGCTAGAAACAATAAAAATCCTTCCCATCTCATTGTAGTTTATTTTGCATGATCATAAACGATACATTTTTGTGCCTTCTTCATTACAGTTATTAGTTTGTTTGACCATAAACAAAAACAAAAATTCTTAAATTTTTCATTCTCATTACTCTTTCTTTTGTACAGTCATAAATGATAAACTTTGTGTCTACTTCAACATTATTGTTTGTCATAAACAAAAATATATTTCTGCGTGTATGTATATACATGTATGTGTGTTATGCATATGTGTATATGTATTTATATTGAATATATGCACTGGATATCATTGATGTGTATATGTATGTATGTATGCACGTGTGTATACCTTGCTCAAACAGATAAACTGAATGAATGAAAAAGTTGTGACACATGAGAGAGTGAGGGAATCTCCTGTCCTCAGTAGAGCCAGTGTTTCTATACTTATTCCTTTCACTTCTACATATCTGTGTGAATTGGGATTTTCTGCACAGAAACAGACTGAATACTTCTATCTTATTTAATACTTTTATTTGCTGTCAAAATAAAACGTTTCAGTATTAATAATTAAAAATAATTTGTTTGTTTGACCAGAAAGTGAATTATTTTATAACAAATTATTCGTCACCCATAATTAATTTGTTACAAAATATATACGTGCAAACAAATTCCAGAACGTAAAAACAATCTCATTTAATACATTTATTTGTTGTAGGGTGTTGTGGGATGTAGCACAAAATGTGAAAACAGTAAAATAAGGCCTTGTAATCCACTTATTTCAGTGAAGTAACTGTAATCCAATTACCATTAATTGAAACAGTAACTGTAACTGAATACAGTTACTCATAATTTGTAGGTAACGGCGGTACTTGTTATCTGATACTCCCCAACACTATGTCTCTGTATATCAAATATTATCTATTCCTCTGTGACTGTGAATGTTGCAAATGCAGGTGGAATGTCGTCTCGTATGAATGGTCCTGACAGACCGACACTGCAGCTCGGTGGAGGAACGTGAACTTTAACAACAGACTTACGCATTTAAAGCAAGAGACTAACTAATCTTTTATTTTTCTAAGATTTTCACAAGAAGAGGTCGTGTGACAGCCTGCAAAATAAAAAGTGAGCAGAAACCTCTTGTATATATAACTTATTATAGTTCTTATTACAGATCCATGGTGTGTGCGTGTGTGTGTGTGTTTGTGTGTGCGTGCGTGTGCGTGTGTGTGCGTGCGTATGTGTGTGCGTGTGTGTGCGTGCGTATGTGTGTGCGTGTGTGTGTGCGTGCGTGTGTGTGTGTGAGTGTGTGTGTGTGCGTGCGTGCGTGTGTGTGTGTGCGTGTGTGTGCGTGCATGTGTGTGTGTGTGTGTGTGTGCGTGTGTGTGCGTGCATGTGTGTGTGTGTGTGTGTGCGTGCGTGTGTGTGCGTGTGTGTGCACTTGTTTTTCTATCCTGGTGAGGACTCTGACCTGATTGCACACCAAACCCGTCAGGACCCCGAGAGCCGTCGGGACCTGAGCTCGAGTCCCCACAGGCACAACCATTGCAAATGATAAAAAAGCCTTTTTGAAGCTGTCTGGTGAAGTTTGGACCCGTAAGGACTCAGGCCCCGACGGGTCACTTTTCACCGGACAAAAAGTGTGTGTGTGTGTAAAGTGTGTTTCAGAGTGCGCCCCCTGTGGTCACTACTGGAACAAGTGTGTGTGACGTGTGTGTTCACCTGACATATGAGGTCCCCACCGCTACCTCCCCGCCCACCTGCTGACACCCCGCCCACCTGCCTCCTACCACCCCCCACGACTACAGACTGAAGAACAAGCATGAAGCATGAAGTGTGTTCACCGGACACATGAGGTCCCCACCGCTACCACCCCCACTACCACCCCCACCCCACCCGACTACAGACTGAAGAGTCCATGATCATTTGTCTGTAAGATGAAGTGTGTTGTTCACCGGACACATCAGGTCCCCACCGCGACCCCCGCTCAGAAGTGCATCAGAAGATTTATTTATTATTATTATTTTTCTTAATGCAATAGTCATTGGCTAAAATGTAGAAAATATGTTCTATTCATGATATTAGATTTATTATTATTATAATAAAATAATCTGGCGATAGTTTTTTCACGGTGGATTGGTTGGAGCAGAAGCGGAGGGGCGGGGCTTCTCAGGTGGAACAGCAATTTTCTTCTTCGACACGTGGATTTTACACAGAGAAAGTGTGGATTATGGACAAAATGAGGTAAGAATATAATTGTACAACATAATGCCCCTGACACATGTGAAGTGTCGTGTGTTGTTGGAGTAAAGTCATGATGAAAATCGTCAGTTAAAGCGCGTTACTTCAGTGAAAGCGGCGTTAGCTTGATTAGCATGATAAGTTCTAGGTCAGAAGAAGAAGGGCCGTAACGGGACACGTGGGTGCAGTAAATCGTGTCTGTGAAGTGTTCGGTCTGTTTCTGTACAGTGTTCGGTTCAGTTTGTGTCCGTGTTTTTTAATCTTGTTTCGTCGTTGCGCGGGGCGCGTGCGTCCTACATGAATCAAACGTCACAGCTGCAGATCCGACTCTTTGGTATAAACTGACCACGCGGCCTTATTCTGCTGATTTCAAGCTACTCAATGATTTTTATTTGATGTAAATTGGTCTAAAACTCACGGAGATATTTGTGAAAGAGCTAAAGAAACCAGACGGGGTCAAAGACGCACGGGAGCGCGCGGCGCGTCAAACCCGCGGACTCTGCAAAGCGCGTTCACGCTCCACACCGCGCACAGCTCCTGTCACACTGCTCCCGTCGCACAGCTCCCGTCGCACTGCTCCCGTCGCACAGCTCCCGTCACACAGCTCCCGTCACACTGCTCCCGTCACACTGCTCCTGTCCTCACGCGTGTCCCTCTCGTTCCAAAGCGCGTGCACGTGCAGTGTGCTCGCCCTTGACACCGCGATGAAGAATCACGCGGAGCTGAAAGAGCCACTGAACATCTGCGGTACTTGAGTAAAAGTTCAGATGCAAGAGAAAAAAATACTGAAGTAAAAGTATTAAATGCAAAAACCTACTTAAGTAAAAGTACTGAAGTACTCCCATGAAAGTGTACTTCATAAATCAAAAGTCAAAGTTTTCTCCACAGATGTTTAGATCCGTTAAAGCATCAGATTTGTTGGTTTTGTTAAAAAAGAGATTTTAGGCACATTTTTGATGTTAATATCTACAGTATTTTGAAAGTGTCTCCAGACAAACTGAATGCAAATTGAGAAAAAACAAATGGACTAAAATGGATTAATCTAGTTAGGCCCGAGCCCCGACAGGGCGTAGGGCCTATTGCTTCCGCTCAGCGGAGCAAATGGGAAGGGACGTGCGCATGTCCGAATGCGACAAGACGACATGCAACTATGTCCACGGTCGCCCCCGGCACGAACAGCAGTATCCCAGTAACCCACACCCAAGGCCTGGCTCATATTTACTACTGCTAAAATGAATGGAAGTCAATGGAAGGCGATGGGTGACCTCGACGAGATGGCGAATGACGAGCGCGTCAGTGCCCGTCACTCACCAATGACCCCACGGTGACGTGGGGAAGGTCGAGAGCTTTCAAAAAATGTATAATATGTTGTTCTAATGTTTTCGGATATATTGTTTTTGCTCGAATTATTATTATTTTATTTTTATTAGGCCCGAGCGCCATGGGTGGCGTAGGGCCTATTGTTACTGTTCAGCAGTGCGAAGCACTGCGGGAAGGCGTGTGCGAAGCACACGCAACAGAGCGCGAAGCGTTCTCCCCTTTCCAAACACACACTCACACTCACATGTCAGTGACTGGTGCCCGCTGACATGGCACGGTGGCATTGCCCGTGGGCCGCGTCAGCGGCATATTTGTAATCGTTCACCCCAAAATGTAGGGCGCACTTGACATGGTGCACTTCGTGCACCATGTCAAGTGCGCCCGCGAAAACAGAACGCGAAGCGCTCTCCCCTTTCCAAACACACTCACACTCATGTCAGTGACTGGTGCCCGCTGACATGGCACGGTGGCATTGCCCGTGGGCCGCGTCAGCGGCATAATTGTAATCGTTCACCCCAAAATGTTTTAAACCTATTGAGTTTTGTTTTTCCACAAAAACTGAAAAATGATTGAGTTGGCTTTCTTGATATTCTGTGGTGAAATGTACATAGAATGACAAGGATATACAACTTTGGAAACACCTTCTGCTTTAGTGACCGAGCTTCTACCAGAAAGAGTGAGATCCTGAGTGACCAGTGACTAAGACCTTTCTTCATTTCTATTAATCTTCTCTTCAGACTGCATTTTTAGAGATCAAAATTCCCAAATATTTAACATAATTTTCAACCCTAATTGATACAACATTTTTGTGTTGACACGAATGAAGGGGGAGAATTTCACATTTATTAATATTTAACTTTAACCATGATGCCTTTGAAAAAAAAGTACATTGAATCGAGTGCTTTCTCAACCATGACACTGTTTTGCAAGAATAATGCTGGGTCATCAGCAAATTGACTTATTTTCTGTCCAGGGTATCCCCAAGTTTGACTACCCCAAATTTAAGACTTTTAAAAGACCTTTTTAAGACCACATAAATAAAAATTAAAACCAACATCGCACCCATTATGTGGGCAAAAAACACCAGATCCAATTCTAATAACGACCATTACTCACTGCTTTAAATAACAAAAAGTACTGTTATTAATAATATTACAATAATAATAATAATAATAATAATAATAATAATAATAATAATAATAATAATTAAAGCCGCTCGCGGCGATAGTGGCCCTCGCCCCCCCATGCGACTGCCCCAGCACGCCACTTTCTCTCCTCGACATTCGCCCAGGCCGACAGCTCGTCCACCAGAAAAGTTACATAGTGTACTTTAAAATTGGATAATTGTATTTGAAGTTGTGCTGATACAAGAGACTGACTAGAGCAGAACATGAAAACACGTTTGTGTGAGACACATGGGAAAAGTGGAACTCCACTCCAGACCAGAAACACTATTTCTACTATATCTACTATAGACTTTTTATTTTTATTTTTTATTCAAGTTGAGTTTATATATGCAGAAGATTTAATGAAGACTCTGTTGGGTTTGATGTGTGCAGTGGATTGTGGGATGTCGTATCGCTGGTTAAACCTCCCGCACTTCCTCTGCTTCCTCTTTTCCTGGTTTATTAAATTGATTTAAGTTCATTTTTGCATTTGAGCATTTGTAAGATTATGTCAAGAAACCGGGATACTCCATTTGATCATGTCACAGAGACATGAGTGTCCTGGTTTCTCCACGCGCATGTAAACACAGTATCCCGAATCCTGACATAACCGGGACACTGATGTGCATGAAAACACACTCATTCTTACATATGATTTACTATGTGTGATTTTATGTGTATTTAGTTACAGTTACTTTATTTGAACAGTTTAAAAAGTGATTTTAATTGACACTTTCTTTCCTTTGTTCTGATGCAGAGCTACAAGATCAACCAACAGAATGACCTTCACATGTGACCAGTGTGAGAAAACTTTCTCTCAATCATCCGATCTCAGTAAACACATGAGAGAAAACTGCTGGCAGATAGTATACGAGTGTGACCAGTGTGAAAAGTTCTTCAGAACATCCCAGGAATTCTCCAGTCACTACCGAACGCACACAGGAGACGAACCAGACGACTGTGAAGAAAGAGGGAAGGATTTGGGGTCTGTGGGGAAAGGAGAAAGAGCTGCTGAGGCCGGATCAAGTGAGCCTAAAGTCAGACTCAAGAAGCTGGAGATCAGGCTTCAGAGACTCCACACTGTGGAGTTGGCCGATGTGTAGTGTCAAAACTTACAAGCGTTAAATGACACGTTAAGATGTTTTTCTTTCCTTCCATGTTTATTCATCAGTTCTTTGTTGTATTGTTTTTAACTTTGTGCGTTTAGTCCTGTTTGACTGCGCTTCCCAAAATTACAATTCCAGTTCCCTTAATTAAAATATTAAAATGAGAAAATAAAATCTGTTTTTTTGTTCTTGCTTGTCTTGTTTTATGTTTCACAAATGCCTCAAAAACATTAGAAATGAAACAAACACACACAAAGAGCTGAGAAACAGTGTGAGCTTCTTTTAACATTTAACAGGTGAAGCACCAAATGTTCCTCAGAGGTGAGAGAATTAAAACTAAAATTCAAGATTTTAATCTTAAATTTTGACAATTTGGTGAGTTTAAGTTGAAGTGCATTGGACAGATTCAGACCTGCTTTAGTCCTGGTCTAGACCTGGTTTTAGTCCTGGTTTTAGTCCTGGTGTAGTCCTGGTTTTAGTCCTGGTTTTAGTCCTGGTTTTAGTCCTGGTTTTAGTCCTGGTGTAGTCCTGGTTTTAGTCCTGGTTTTAGTCCTGGTTTTAGTCCTGGTGTAGTCCCGGTTTTAGTCCTGGTGTAGTCCTTCTTCTGCATCAAGTATTTATTTTAAGCACTATCCACATCAAACACAGAAACACACAGAGAGACACAGAGACACAGACACACATGTATATACATGTATATATGTATTCTACAATGCGATGATGAGCCAGTTTTCTCTATTGATACTTTGCGTTTAAATGCAATCTAAAATATTATTTTAAATAATTATAAAACCTTCCAAATAAACAAGCTAATACATGTTCTCAATTTATTTAAAGAACTGAAACGATCAGTCAGAATCATCTAATGTATATTTGTGATAAATTTGTTGAAAATTTTAAAAATTGGTACATTGCAGGCAGATGTGAGGCAGAGTCCACCAACATTTTGTTAAAAAAATGATTGAAATAATTGCATTTCTCCTTTTGCTCAATGAACTTCATTTAGCTGGAGCTAAATGCTGCGTGTGACGTCACACTCACTTAATCCACTCTTTTATTCAGTCTCTGTATGTGATCATAAAGGTCATAAACTGCAGAAATACTAGAAACAACTTTTACCTCATGAGTTTTGTGAATTGTGAACAGCATTAGATTTGTGTTGTGGAAGTTTGATCTAGTCTACACATGTTCCTTTGATTTATTTATATTTATCAATCCTTCAGGATCATTTTATTTGTCCCTGAGGGTCATTTTAAGCACTTGGAGCAGTGCAATACAATAATAAAGAAACAAAATTGAAGGTAGGGTTAGTAGATTCTTTGTCAGAGTAACAACCCTCAGTCCATGAGTGTCCCTCCTCTCTGTCCCTTGTGCATCAGGGGCACCAGGTCATTCCCATGTGTGTTATATGTGTGTAGTGGTCAGTGTGCAGTAGGTTCATGTTGGTTCATGTGTGTTATATGTGTGTAGTGGTCAGTGTGCAGTAGGTTCATGTTGGTCCATGTGTGTTTATGTGTGTAGTGGTCAGTGTGCAGTAGGTTCATGTTGGTCCATGTGTGTTTTATGTGTGTAGTGGTCAGTGTGCAGTAGGTTCATGTTGGTCCATGTGTGTTATATGTGTGTAGTGGTCAGTGTGCAGTAGGTTCATGTTGGTCCATGTGTGTTATTTATGTGTGTAGTGGTCAGTGTGCAGTAGGTTCATGTTGGTCCATGTGTGTTTTATGTGTGTAGTGGTCAGTGTGCAGTAGGTTCATGTTGGTCCATGTGTGTTATATGTGTGTAGTGGTCAGTGTGCAGTAGGTTCATGTTGGTCCATGTGTGTTATATGTGTGTAGTGGTCAGTGTGCAGTAGGTTCATGTTGGTCCATGTGTGTTATATGTGTGTAGTGGTCAGTGTGCAGTAGGTTCATGTTGGTCCATGTGTGTTATATGTGTGTAGTGGTCAGTGTGCAGTAGGTTCATGTTGGTCCATGTGTGTTTATATGTGTGTAGTGGTCAGTGTGCAGTAGGTTCATGTTGGTCCATGTGTGTTTATATGTGTGTGTAGTGGTCAGTGTGCAGTAGGTTCATGTTGGTTCCATGTGTGTTATATGTGTGTAGTGGTCAGTGTGCAGTAGGTTCATGTTGGTCCATGTGTGTTATGTGTTGTGTGTAGTGTCAGTGTGCAGTAGTTTCATGTTGTCCATGTGTGTTATGTGTGTGTAGTGGTCAGTGTGCAGTAGGTTCATGTTGGTCCATGTGTGTGTTATATGTGTGTAGTGGTCAGTGTGCAGTAGGTTCATGTTGGTCCATGTGTGTTATGTGTGTAGTGGTCAGTGTGCAGTAGGTTCATGTTGGTCCATGTGTGTTATATGTGTGTAGTGGTCAGTGTGCAGTAGGTTCATGTTGGTCCATGTGTGTTATATGTGTGTAGTGGTCAGTGTGCAGTAGGTTCATGTTGGTCCATGTGTGTTATATGTGTGTAGTGGTCAGTGTGCAGTAGGTTCATGTTGGTTCCATGTGTGTTATATGTGTGTAGTGGTCAGTGTGCAGTAGGTTCATGTTGTCCATGTGTGTTATATGTGTGTAGTGTGGTCAGTGTGCAGTAGGTTCATGTTGGTCCATGTGTGTTTATATGTGTGTAGTGGTCAGTGTGCAGTAGGTTCATGTTGGTCCATGTGTGTTATATGTGTGTAGTGGTCAGTGTGCAGTGGTTCAGTTGTTTCATGTGTGTGTATATGTGTGTAGTGGTCAGTGTGCAGTAGGTTCATGTTGGTCATGTGTGTTATATGTGTGTAGTGGTCAGTGTGCAGTAGGTTCATGTTGGTCCATGTGTGTTATATTGTGTGTAGTGGTCAGTGTGCAGTAGGTTCATGTTGGTCCATGTGTGTTATATGTGTGTAGTGGTCAGTGTGCAGTATGGTTCATGTTTGGTCATGTGTGTTATATGTGTGTAGTGGTCAGTGTGCAGTAGGTTCATGTTGGTCCATGTGTGTTATATGTGTGTAGTGGTCAGTGTGCAGTAGTTCATGTTGGTTCATGTGTGTTATATGTGTGTAGTGGTCAGTGTGCAGTAGGTTCATGTTGGTGTCCATGTGTGTTATATGTGTGTGTAGTGGTCAGTGTGTGCAGTAGGTTCATGTTGGTCCATGTGGTGTTATATGTGTGTAGTGGTCAGTGTGCAGTGCAGTAGGTTCATGTTGGTCCATGTGTGTTATATGTGTGTAGTGGTCAGTGTGCAGTAGGTTCATGTTGGTCCATGTGTGTTATATGTGTGTAGTGGTCAGTGTGCAGTAGGTTCATGTTGGTCCATGTGTGTTATATGTGTGTAGTGGTCAGTGTGCAGTAGGTTCATGTTGGTCCATGTGTGTGTTATATGTGTGTAGTGGTCAGTGTGCAGTGTCAGGGTTCATGTTGGTCCATGTGTGTTATATGTGTGTAGTGGTCAGTGTGCAGTAGGTTCATGTTGGTCCATGTGTGTTATATGTGTGTGTAGTGGTCAGTGTGCAGTAGGTTCATGTTGGTCCATGTGTGTTATATGTGTGTAGTGGTCAGTGTGCAGTAGGTTCATGTTGGTCCATGTGTGTTATATGTGTGTAGTGGTCAGTGTGCAGTAGGTTCATGTTGGTTCCATGTGTGTTATATGTGTGTAGTGGTCAGTGTGCAGTAGGTTCATGTTGGTCCATGTGTGTTATATGTGTGTAGTGGTCAGTGTGCAGTAGGTTCATGTTGGTCCATGTGTGTATATTGTGTGTAGTGGTCAGTGTGCAGTAGTTCGTGTCAGTGTGGTGTATGTGTGTGTATATGTTGTGTATGTGGTCAGTGTGCAGTAGGTTCATGTTGGTCCATGTGTGTTATATGTGTGTAGTGGTCAGTGTGCAGTAGGTTCATGTTGGTCCAGTGTGTGTTATATGTGTGTAGTGGTCAGTGTGCAGTAGGTTCATGTTGGTCCATGTGTGTTATATGTGTGTAGTGGTCAGTGTGCAGTAGGTTCATGTGTTGGTCCATGTGTGTTATATGTGTGTTAGTGGTCAGTGTGCAGTAGGTTCATGTTGGTCCATGTGTGTTATATGTGTGTAGTGGTCAGTGTGGCAGTAGGTTCATGTTGGTTCCATGTGTGTTATATGTGTGTAGTGGTCAGTGTGCAGTAGGTTCATGTTGGTCCATGTGTGTTATATGTGTGTGTAGTGGTCAGTGTGCAGTAGGTTCATGTTGGTCCATGTGTGTTATATGTGTGTAGTGGTCAGTGTGCAGTAGGTTCATGTTGGTCCATGTGTGTTATATGTGTGTAGTGGTCAGTGTGCAGTAGGTTCATGTTGGTCCATGTGTGTTATATGTGTGTGTAGTGGTCAGTGTGCAGTAGGTTCATGTTGGTTCATGTGTGTTATATGTGTGTAGTGGTCAGTGTGCAGTAGGTTCATGTTGGTCCATGTGTGTTATATGTGTGTCATGTGCAGTAGTCAGTTGTCCATGTGTGTTTATGTGTGTGTGGTCAGTGTGCAGTAGGTTCATGTTGGTCCATGTGTGTTATATGTGTGTAGTGGTCAGTGTGCAGTAGGTTCATGTTGGTCCATGTGTGTTATATGTGTGTAGTGGTCAGTGTGCAGTAGTTTCATGTTGGTCCATGTGTGTTATATGTGTGTCAGTGTGTCAGTTGGTTCATGTGTGTATATGTGTGTAGTGGTCAGTGTGCAGTAGGTTCATGTTGGTCCATGTGTGTTATATGTGTGTATACATTGTATTTTATTTTATTGGCATGTACGCCATTTATGACATCAACTTGTCCAGGGACTGAAGGTGGAAATGAGCAATTTGCTATAACCTGCCCAAGCATATGACTTAAAACTACTCTGTAAACCAATCCACTTTACATTATTCTGGGATTTCCATTTTACTATTTTGTCCCTAAATAAAGATATGACATTAATAACAGACCAATGAGGTGCATGTTTTCTCCGAGGTCACTCCCACTAATGTTATTATTATTATTATTATTCCCCAGCCTTTTTACTCCAGTTCAAACAGAGGGTCATGTACACTGCCATGTTGAATTCTCATTCAAATCAGCACAGTGTAGAGAATAAGGAGGGAGTATTAGAGTCTGTTTTGTGTTGAAGTTTTTTATTAAACAGCTGTAGGGTCATGTGACCACCACTGGCTCAGATGATCTGATTCTCCAAATGCAGCTGAAGCTCCTTCTCCTGTCTGTCCAGGACTGGGGTGGCCACATTGTGATTTGCAGCTGTCCCCAGTGAAGGAAACCGTTTTCCCCCAGTGTTTCTTTGCTGTATTGGGAAATAGTTCCGGTTGGAGGAGGTGGGTCAAAGCACAGCACGGTTGCTCGTGGACGCGCACACGCACGACTTTCCTAAAAGCCCTGGATGTGCACTGATGTTACTCATACAAGCAAAACAGTGAATAAAGGCTGCTCTAAAGCACACAGCCAATCTGTGCTTCCCTTCAGTAAGGACAGTGGACGGTGACCAAAAGTTTTGCACCCTCTCCTCCAGCTGTCCTCACTCCTCCACACTGTTATTATCTCCTATATTGTGTACATAGAAAGCTCTGCTGCACCACAAGTAAACAAACAGCAGCATGTCATCAGGCCGTGGCTCGGTTTGGTTGTGCAGGTGTGAGAGTGGAACAGAGAACACTACACAATCGTCCTTCTTTAGATGTCATTCAAAATGCTCAGCACTTCTTGGCTGTGCAATTGGAGATACAACTCTGTGTAGTCTTTTTGCAGCATTTCATTTTGTTGACGCAAATGTTCATTTTTGTATTCACGATTTTGATATTTGCCCAGTAATGTCTCCTGTTCTTTCTTAGCCTTCGTCAATCTTAATATTTCGTACTTTAAGTGGTTATTTCTTAGCTCCAGCAAGGATTTCTTTTCCTCTATCAACGTCAGATCAACGTTTAGCGCACTAGCCTCTTGGATCTGCTGCTGTAGTTTAACAATTCCTCTTAGCAAGTTAAAGTTCAGCCTGTTCTCATCTGTCATTTTATGCTGCAATTCTTTTCCCGCTTGCCTACACTTTTTAATCTTGAGGTATTCTACTGAAATTTCTTGTTGTTTCTTAATCAGATGCTTGTGTTCAGCTCTTGCAAGTTCAATGTCAATTTGCTCCTGATTATCTGGCATGACTTTGCTGTTTGTAATTTTACTCAGGGTCTTGTCAAAGTTTTGCTGAATTTTGTAATTATAGTTCTGCAGATGTTCTATCTCCCAGACTTTTTTGTTGTATTTGAACACTCGTACCTTTTCAGCATCATATTCTTTTGTTATGTGGCAAAGATTTTCCTTCAACTGCTCAATTTTGCTTTTTAAGATGCTGTTTGTCGTCTCTAAATCCAAGCATTTCTTTTTCCAAATCTCATTTTCAGCCAGGTTTTGGCTCATCCTCACTATGTCTTTCTGTAAACATTCTGTATCTTCTAACGTGCGATTTTTCTCTTTTTCTAACTCCAGGTGGCGCTGTTTCCACTCTCCATCTTGAGGCAGTTTTGATCGTAAACTTTCAAACTCCTCTTGTAAACGAGCTCTCATTAGATGATCTGGAATAGTCACCTCTTTGCTGCATACTGTATTTTTAAATTCTTCATTTGGTTGTTGCATATTCTCTTCACAATTGTTTTGTACCATTGATGGTTGCTTTTTCTTCATCTTTTCCAGTCTCGAAATCTCACTTTTTAAGTCGTCATTTCTTTGCATCAGGGACTTTTTCTCCTTTTTTAGCCCTTTCAACTGAACTTTTAGCAAGCTAGTGTCTTTAATTTATGTCAGAAAATCAATGTTTGCATTTACCCAGATGTCTTTATGGCGGCCATATTGGATTTTTTTTTAAATGGCCGCCAAAAACCTCTTTTTGGAATATCTCAGCCTCAGTCAAGTTGAAATGTTGATATTAATTGCTAAACCCACATTTTCAGGGTCAGGGAATCAAATGGTGCTAGTTAAAAGCTATAAGACCTACCCACATTAACCCTTAGGTGCATAAGTGGGTCAAAAATGACCCACTTATGCATATATGTATATACATGTATATATGTATATACATATATATACATGTATATACATATACGCTGAGTGTTTGGTGATTTGGAGATGTAGGTGGGGACGATAGGCAGGATCTTGGCCCTCACGAGGAACGGCGGGGGCCTATAACACCACGTGTAGCTTTAATTGATAGAACATTTCTTCTTGGAAATGCTGTCACTGTTCTGGCTTCATAAACAGGTTGGTAAAGACGCAAAACATTTGATTCAAGTAGCCTAAGTACTTTGAATTAATTTTACAAGTCAAATTATCAGTAGGGATTAAAAACAAATGTATTTGTAAAAAAAAAAAAACACACACACAAAGTAAAAGTAGGAGTAATTGTAATTTATTGATTTATAAACATCTAACATTAATTAATGCAAAATGTGGTATTTTTAAAGTGTAAACTTCACAAATGAAAGAGCCAATCATATCTGAAACAGTGGACCAAGAAACACAAATGAAAGAAGCTTTATGTTGACAGAGTCAATGTTGACACTTGACTCTGACAAATACTTTGTAAGTATAGAACTATTTGAACACAGGTATTATTCCACCAAGCACAGGAAGAATCAGGAAAAAACATTCATCTACACTTTAAAACTTTAAATACTGCTGTTGGATGTTTCATGTAGAGATAAATCTGATATGGAGAGAATGACACTTTATTTATTTTTAAGGTATTGAATGAAATGAAACTGGAAATTAAGACAAGAAAAAGATTACCTTTTTATAAGCGTTTTATTTTTGGAATGTTTTTAATGACATGTTATATGTGGACGCTTCTGTTACACACACACACATTTAGACATTGTTGACCAGAAAAGCTGCAAATGTCCCTCGTTTGTGCTAATGCAGTAAAAAAAAAAAAAAAAAAAAAAAGCACTTGGGAACTCTAGATAATGCTATTACAACACAATATACACAGTTAAAGCAAAAAGATTTGTGTTTAGTTCCATGTGGAGTAAGAAATCTTTCATAAATATTCATGTGCATAGGAGAGAAATCCCTGCATATTTGTCTGTAGTTGAGCATAATATAAATATTTGTAAACTCTTGAATGAGTCCAGTCGTACATCAAATGTACTGTGTGTATTTTATCCATCAGAATACAAATTAAAGTTACAATATCAAGAATTACAATAACCAAATGTAAATGTACGATTACGCTTTCTTCAGTACGAATACAAATTCACAGACGCGACTTTACTCTCAAAAATACAACATCACTTATTACTTATTATTCTCATTCTACACACTTTTTTGCCGCACTTGCACTTAGCAATGACTGAACCAGGCCTGTGTGTCGGGATGGACACAGAGCTGCTCCTGTCGTCACCTGACGGTCTATGTGGGGGCACCTTCTGAAAGAAACCTTGCAGATCTTCAGGCCACATACGGTTCATCTTAATCGCTGGAATTGTGGCAGACTCCTAGACAATTTAAGAGCAAAGTGATTGAATTACATTATAATCCTTAAACTCTCATTTGTGTTGCCAGTTTCAATTCTGAAATCCAGTTGTTTTAAACCTAAAATGCCTCTCTCTGATCTGAATGGTCAGTACTTAAACCCAGCACTGCAGCCTCTGCAGCTCAGTGTATGTGTCCATATACTAACAATGTCCACAACTTGTATGTGTCCTCAATCTGCAGATTCAAGTTAAACTGTAAGACTGCAGGCAACACACAGTTTCTTTAAATACTGTTTCTTTCAATTCTTTAAATTATCTGGACTCCTCAGTAATTTTGGAATGAAATCAAATAAACCAAATATCTTAAGAGTTTGAATCAAAATGCCTTACCACTGGAAAAGAAGCCATCACCAGACAAAGCATCAAAGCCAGCGCTGTGGTCTCCATGTCTGTGAACTGCAGCACAAAGAAGAATGTAAAACAACATATGTGGGTTATAAAGTCAACTTGCTGCTGTTACCTCAGGTCCAGTCTGGTCTCTGTCTGCAGGTCACCACTAAATACACAAGACCATGATGGGGGTTTGCACTTGAAAAAAAAAACAAAAAAACAAAAAACATTTACGTGCTACTGTCACCTCCTACATTTAAAAAAAGAAGTGAAAGCAACCTTTCTTTCTCTGTTTGACTCTGGTAATACTTTGTGTAACTGTGTACTTCCTTTTCCACTCCACAGAAGCTGGACTGTGGTGTATTACAGTGAAGAAAGTATTAGTTCATATTTACAAAGAAGGATGGAGGAAACTTCCAGGGAACTTGGAACTTTTAACTCAGCTCAGCTAGTTAGCGTCTGCACTCCTCCTCTCGATGCTCTTCACTGCCGCAGTGCCAAACTGAGCTTGAAAAATCAACCTTCTTCTTAGTCCCATGCTCTTGGAATGGCCAACAAAATATCTTAGAATCTTCAGTGTCGCTTGAACAGGTCAAGAAATGTGTAAAAAAAAAAAAAAAAAAAAAAAAAAGATATAAAAAAAAGTAGACTGAGACAATGTAGTGGAAATGTATCCAGAAAACAAATTTAAACTAACCTAAATTAACCTACACTGAGCCCACATTCAAACTTGAGGATCAAAAACACATCAAGTCTCCAGTGCGACGTCTTTACACTGTTTCAAAGTCAAAGTGCAGAAATATGATAAATAAAGCTGAAGCCAAACAGATAATATTAATCAAACTTCACCAAAACACACTTCCCTCTTGGTCCCAGGAAAAGCATAATCCCCAAATAAATGTGAAGCAGTGAATATATCCAGTGTGGAGTGTGTGTCCGCGTAAAGTTGCAGTCAATCGAGTCCACGTAAAGTTCTCCAGAATCCTCTCCGTCCAGGTAACACACACTATCAAAGTAAGTAAATATTTTATTTATATAGCACTTTTCACACACATCTGTCACAAAGACACTTCACAGAGCTTTATTGACTTACTCCAGACCTGCTGGTGGTAAACTACTACTGTAGCCACAGCTGCCCTGGGGCAGACTGACTGAAGCTGCCATGCTAATCAGTGCCATGGGTCCCTCCGACCACCATCACACACCCACGCACACACACACGCACACGCACACGCACGCACACACACACCACTTTCATACTAGGCAATGTGGGTAAAGTGTCTTGCCTAAGGACACAACTGGTGCCCCCCTGTGGCTCCAGATTTTCCCAGTGTCTCCCAACCAAGTCCTGACCAGGCCCTGTCCTGCTGAGCTTCTGAGATCTGTCGAGATCAGCCTTTTTGACCAGAGCTGAGGTGTTGAGTGTCCAGGAGAAGATCTGCAGAGATGTGAACTCCAAGGAATTTGAAGGTCTCCACTCGCTCCACACTTTGGCCGTTGATGTACAGGGAGCAGGGGTGAATCTGTTCCACCAAAAGTCCAGGATGAGTTCTTTAGTCTTGGTGATGTTCAGTGCCAAGTTGTTATTTGCACAGCACTGGCTGAGTTTCAGGACCTCATCTCTGTAGGCGCCTCATTCCCCTCTGTTATCAGCCCCAAGACAATGATGTTAATGAATGAATGCATTTTTTTTTATTATTGTGTCTTGCAAACATATGCGCAGCCCTTTCATGGGCTTATAAAAAGCCACAAAACAGAATACAGTTGCCCACAAAGTCATTCATTTAACCCGGGAGAACCCAAGAACCCTTTTTTTTTCTTTGGAAAATTATGAACTATGCATTAAATGATGGCCAAATCTGACCCATTGGGATTTAGGCATATCATTTCAAAGAATCACAATAACAAACTATTTTAAATTTAGGAAAATAATCAGTCAACCACACAGCTACATTTAACAATGCTTTTTTTTGCTTTATTTTTTGTATGTTAGAACTGCATTTTGAATATACAAACATACTTTGGCCAATTGAAACAAGAACACTAGGCCAGAGAGAGGAAATAAATCTAGAGAGAGGAAATAAAACTAGACAGTGTTGTTGCCTTTGAAACAATTTCTTTTTTTGCTGATGCAGAGAAAAACACACTTTGGCCAACTGAAGCAAGAACAAAAGGCCAAAATCACGACTGATAAAAATTAACACTAACAACACAGCACATCGACAGCGATTTTCCTCCTTGACAGGCCAATGGGCGATTTGATCAAAACGAACATCTGCACTAAATTCATGCATAAATTCAAACAAATCTCGGTGGTGTCGGGAAGGCCAGAAGTTGGTGGTCTACCCCGTTGTCTTGCTGTTCCAACTTCAACTTCAACTAAGCCTTGAGCAACCAAACCCTGAAACTTGTGAAGTTTGAGTACTTTCGATCCAGTGATTCCCTGGGCCTCATGGTCACGCTGGTACAGAAGCCATGCGTTGATCACCGCAACAGACAAGAAATGCTAAAAAAGTATCATATACCAGCGGTGGGTCCTGATGGGAAATTTACAGCAGCAAGATATGCATCCAGCATGTCAACTCCTCCCATGGAAGCGTTGGACTCCGTGATGATGTTCGGTTGATCAGTGTTGGTGTACTCTTTTTTGGACTTGTCCCATCGCTGAGCTTTTCCCAAAGGCTCTGTTCCAGTATACATTGACATCAAACTGACTGCTTTCGTGTCTTGCCATTTCAAACAAGCAGTGTTGGTGTTGGACTCGATTCGATAATCATAGGATCTACGACCTTTCTTGGACAGGTCTTTGTCCGTCATCAGGTTGCACTTAGACATGCGTTTTTGTTTTTTTCACACAGTTCCTGTGTAGTAGATTCCCTTTGCCAATAATTTCACTATAATTTCTTCATCGAAGTGAAGAAATTGTCAGTGAAAATCAGAAAATGTACTTTCTCTGGAAGCGATTTGCATAGCTTCAACACAATTACTCCACCAATTCCCAACTGACTCTTCCCTTTTGGTTCAATGCCACCACCTTTTCCCTGATATATGTCAAAGTCGTGCAGGAGGCCAGTGACACAGCAGCGCGCCCACACTTTGAATCTCCATAGATGTGGCTTCCCTTTGATGTACTGCGTTATGCCACCATATTTCCCTTTGTATGGCACCATCATCTCATCAATGAACTGTTTTTGGCGAGGAGCTATAGTCAGACTTTGCCTCTGAAAAGAATCCAAAAATGGTCTCAGTTTCCAAAGTCGATCCTTTTTTACTTGTTCACTGGCCATTTCGCTGTCTACAAAGTGGATGACGGAGTAGCAGACTGAATCGGTTGCAACTCATTACGTCTGCTACAGGCCCATAATAAACTTCACTTTCCCAGTACTGACAGACTCCAGACATTTGAACTAATCCCATCTTCAGATACATTCCTAGAACTTGTTCCATTTTCTTTACTGGTGTCTACACATTTCCCATTCTTTTGAACACTGTATTGATTTGTATGCTCAACAATATTTTCCAACATATCAAGGGAAATGAAGCATCAAAAGTAAACCAGTGGCGTATCTGTTGTGGCATCCTGATACGACTCAACCTGTTCACCTTGAAAGCTCACATCAGGCACCTCAAAGCCTTTCTTTCATCACCTGTAAGTTTTTTGGCTCCATCTGTAGGCTAGCAGTCTCGGCAAACGGCACATCTTCATCACTGGACGAGTCATTGTCTTGGGCAGAAAGATTCACCATCATCACTTTCATGTGGTTGAAACAATTCTTCAGAATCGCTTTTGCTGTCCAATTCAGGGCCAAAGACTCTGTCATCAGCTTCAAGTTGCTCTAATACTTGTCTCACAGTGAACTTTCTCTGTTCATTTCTCTGTGCTGAAAAGGGAGCGGCCATATTCCCTGAAAAAATAAAAGATATTTACTTTATTAATCCCTGGCCATGTACTACCCAGGTAACTTAGTAAAATATATCCACACACACTTGGTATTGAATGAAATCAATCAATAGAATCCAGTCCCTTTATATAGTCATGTGTTTACATGCAGGGCTGTATTCCTCTATACATACAGTAAACAATACACTATTTATACTATTTATATATACTATTATACTATTTATATTCTCTCTCTCTCTCTCTCTCTCTCTCTCTCTCTCTATATATCTATATATCTATATATATATATATATATATATATATATAATATATATATATATATATATATATATGTGTGTGTGTGTGGTGTGGGTGTGGGTGTGTATTTTAATTGTTACATTATATTCTACAGATGAATTTATTTCAAGGCTTTAGGTGAATACAGGATTGTCACCATTCTCCATCTACAAAGTCATTCAAAGAACCAAAGGGTCATGACCTGTCATTTTTTCACCCAGAGGGTCATTTTTGACCCATCGTGTTTTGAACAAGCTCAGGGTGGCTAATTTATCTTAAAAGAATATAAAAGCACTTCTAGGCATTCTGCCAGCTAATACTAAGTAGATTAACAAAAAATACAAAAATTGGCCTGCTGCTGGTTTGCTGAGAAGACGATATTGTTTGGGTAGATTTCTAGCTCAACAAAACACCATGTGGTCAGCCATTTTGTCTTTACCACTCTGGCTCATGTCAGTTCAATATTCATTAAGTAGGTGTGTCTATGCAGAGGCCAGAAGTGGCACTATGGGCTTTTGAGATTCAATTTGAATTATTATTTTTTTTTTAATGTTTGTTCATTTTGGGTAGCAGCAACTAACAGCGGTCAAATTTGCCCCTGTGGGTTCTCCAGGGTTAAGATTTTCTGTGAGGCTTTTATTTTTTATTTACTGGTGGAAATGGGCTTCCATAATTTAGGCCTTTATTGTCCATTAGAATTCCGATTTCCTGGGAAAGATTGCTATATGGCATATAAATGTATGTTTTGGTTAGTATTTAGGTCCTTTTTCCTCTGAAGAGCAGAACAAGTTTGGAAGAATTTTATTTTATTTTTTTTGGACCACCTTTGCGATTGTGACTAGATTTGAGATTTGTATTTTAATAAAAGGGTTCTGTTCAAAGTTCACATTTTAAACAAGAGAACTGACAAAAAGATTAGAATTAGGGATGGCGATATATCGGTTCCAGTATTGGTATTGGCCGTACTGATATAGATTTGCCTCTATCGGTCAGTTTCACTCATAGAATATAAAGAAGTGGACTAAGGGAGAGTGACGTCACCATAGCGTTAAACTCCAGTCAAATGAAGCTCACAGAGGTCGGCAGATATAGGGACAAATTTGGAGCCAGTTTGGAATTCAGAACAGGAATTGATTTACGGACCAAATAGCAAAATAAAACATTCACCAAACATTCTCTTTGTTCCGGCTTTAAATCCTTGATCTCTTGAATCGTTGACAACACAGAATGTCTGGCTCTTCTCTGATTGGCTGGTGCCCGAACTCACACTTCTGGGGTTTTTGTGAAACATCTAGTGTATTCTGATTCCTGATCTGGTCACTGGAGAGAAATGAACTTGAGTAGAGGCACTAGGTGGCGCTGGGCGTTTTAGGCACTGGCAGCCCGCAGGTTCAGTTTTGACTGTAGTACATTTTTAAAGAGTGCAGGCTACAAACACTTTTTAGTCCTTTTTCATTCTCTTCACTTTTACTGTTAATCGTATGATGATTATTAATGTTTTGATTTGTTTATTTTGTGATTTGTATTTTCTGTAAAGCACTTTGAACTATTTTGTGTATCACTGTGCTATACAAATAAACTTTGCCTCAAGTTAATACATATTTTTGTATTCATTTCATTTAACTTTATACTTCTACTAATACTTCTAGCACTAGCCTCAGTACTCAGTGTTGGGGAGTGAAGGATTACATGTACCGGCATTATGAAATCAGAGTACAAATTATGAGTAACTGTATTCAGTTACAATTACCGTTTCAGTGAGTGGTAATTGGATTACAATTACTTTTGTTGAAATAAATTGATTACATGGCGGTATTTTCCTGTTTTCACATTTTGGGCAAAACCAGGACTAAACCAGAACTAAAACAGGCCTAAAACCAGGACTAAACCAGGATTAAACAATACGACACTAACAGTAGGTGAACATAATTTAAAGCAGCAGTGATCTCATATACAAATCATTTCTCTATCAATAATATTTTTAATATGCTTAAGGAAAGACTGGACTTTTTATTTTCTTTTAGCAGATAAAACATCTCATGTTAAGATTTCCTAGTCTTTGCTTCTCTACAGCAAACACAAGCCTCTTCAGTGAGATTTGGTCTTAACAGCCAATTTGAAGAGAATAAACAAGAATTTTGGGATGTGTTTGCTTCAAAGCATGACAATATCAAGTAATCCAAAGTATTCAGATTACGTTACTCACCTTAAGTAACTTAATGGATTCCGTTACAAACTACATTTTGGGTTATGTAATCTGTAATCTGTAGGGGAACACATTTTAAAAGGAACCTTCCCAACACTGACTGTACTATTAACAATAGTACAACTAAAGACAGGACAAATGAAGTTAGAGTGAGCGCTTTATGTTACAGTTTACAGTACATTTACAATACAACCTCCTCTTCACATTTTTCACAGGAACATCCAAAAACATGACTCCAACTTTCCCACATTAAATACACCCTTATCTTATTTCACTCAAGACTTCACTACAGCAAGAACCCGGGCAAACGGATTCTCTTTACAACATTCACTTCATGAAACCATCTCACGTTTGGCACTTAAATATACAAATAAAGAAAGTTTAAAGGGGCAGGACTATGTAAATGTGCTTCTGTAAAAGGGACTGGAGCAGCAGACAGAAGCGTGACTAACACTATCTGACTTCTGCTACATCCCCTCTGCTTTCTTATGTATTTTCACATTTTCACAATTATAAAGGCCATAGATTGGTGTTGTTATGATAGTACAATTTCAAACTTGATTTCAACACTAAGGAATAGACCCAATACTCAATACTGATGATGATCATTAGAACAGAGTTTGATTTTCAACATTAAATGGTGTTTTTTCTTTCATATTCCCATGTGTTTTCCATGTGTGTAATCCTCACTGGTACATGTGTGTTCCCTAGTCTATGTGCTCTTCTACTTGTTCTGATCCAGCTCAATTTTAATATTGATACCTGCTCAAATGAGTATCTAGTTTTGATATTAATTTTAGTATCGATTGACTTTTGATACTTTTGACAGCCCCACAGTAGATTAAAGTTCAACAGTTGTAACCAAGCAGATGGGCCCTGTGTCCAGTAGGGGGCGCCCAAAGCTGAGCAGATTGTGAAATGGACTGGATGGTTATGAACCATCTAAAGTCGTCTAACTCCATTATAGTTTAGCTAATAGGTCCCTAAACTGTATTTTGTGTACTCCTGTATGCCTCTCACGGAGAAGCATTTCCCTTCTCCAAACTGTACTCCAAATACATTCTATTTGAAATGCCTGGGAAGATGTCCTGTTTCGCTTGATTCATGTAACTTTTACACCCTTTAAAAACTGTAAAAACAAATAAATATAAATCTTAGCAACACTTCATTTTCAAATAATTCTATATTTACACGGCCACTCATTTACACAGCATTTTATGCTAAAAATAATACCTCTCTGTCCATGACATTATTATTTAAATTTGCATTCAAAATTTAAATGTCATTTTGAAATTCCTGAAGGTCTAAGAGTTGTGTTTAGTCACTGCAAAATGTTCATATAAATGACAGTTACATGACATTCCATATTTAAAAAGCATCTGGATTTTGAGCTGTTTTTTTTTTTTTTTTATAAAGGTCTAATAAATTATAATGCCTTAAAACACATCACCATTTCTATTTCAAAATAAGACCAAAATCCAGCCATAAATGTGTTAGTAACCGTCTATAAAAATCTAAAACTAACTATTTTTCCATCAAAATATTTTTTACACCCCGGGAGTGGGCGGAGCCAGTGGCTCTACTTTAACAGTGACGTCATCTACTCCAAATATGTGCCAACTCTGCTCTCCAACAGAAGTGTAGAAGAAGTCAGGTCAGTAACTCTCTCACTGGTTTCTTGGTCAGGTTCCTGTTTTGTGATTGGCCAACCAGCACGGCACCTCCCCGCACCTGGACAAAAGGAACAAAATAGTACTGTGTTGCTGGGATTCAAATGACATCGTCATCGATCCAATAACATAAGACTGGATCAGAGAAGGTCTCGTGTCTTATGTCAGACTCACACGAGCAGCACTCTGAGATGAACTCTACTCTGATCTACAGCAGCTCCCGTCAATATCATTTCAATATCATTTCAATATCATTCAGGAAGATGAGGGACTCTAAAACACTGTGAAGTCTGCTCTGGTTCAGGAAGTACATGTTCTCTTCATTTTACCCACAGACTTTTAGAAAAATTCTAAGAGAATCAAGAGCATCACAGAGGCTGACCAGCTATAAGCTAACTAATGTCCATAACAAGGTTGTTTTAAGTCATGTTTAAAATGCAAGATTCTGCAAAATGTTTGAATAACTTTACGGTATATAAAGTTTACTGTCTTTATATTAAGTATTAATAAAATGTTTTGTCAGAAATACTACGCCTTCTGCACTAAAAGTTGTGTGGACTCAAATGGATCAGCCGGACAAGATGGATTCTTGTGAGGTTGAATTTAGAAAACTCAAACCTTGTGGCACAGTTTACATGCATCTTGTATAATCTCTGGGCTGATGTGAACAGTTATAAGAGCTCAAACCTATCTCTGACCTTTGACCTCTGAGCTCATGTAAACAGTATGATGCCCCAATTTGAGCCAAAAGTCAATAGGTGCACACTCAAATGCTTTAAATTCAAATACTTCAAATATAATATAACAACTAGCATGAATGACGGAGTTGATGGTAAGTTATACAGTACTTCTGACCTCTCTATGACCTTTGACCTCTCTGGGCTGATATAGTGATAGTAGCAGTTCTAGTTCTGACCTCTCTAGGACCTTTGACCTCTGTGTGCTGATGTAGTCATGGTAGCAGGTATAGTTCTGACCTCTCTCGGAGCGGGGGCTGGCTGCTGAGGAAGCTGAGCTGCTGCTCCAGACGACACACTCTGAAGGCCAAGTAACAGGAGGACAACACCAGCACCAGCACTCTGCACCACGACAGACAAGAGAGATTTACACAAACACCACCAGGGGGCAGCACAGGACAACAATGATCTGATCTGAATGAGCAGAGGCGGCTCTCAGAGATCTGTGGCAGTTCAGTTTGTAGTGTTGTGTGTGTTATAGAGAAATACAGAATTCAAAAGATGAGCTGCAGTTGACTCACAGCAGGACGAAGAGCTTGAGGAGCTGATACTCGGTGTAGCCCAGTTCAGGCACTGGTTCAGTCAGGAGGATTTTCTCTGGCTCCAGGCTGCTGTCTGCGAACACACAATATAAAGGAAATACTGAAACGAAATGGATCAACATGTACTTTTCTGTTATGGGGGAGGTTTGGTACAGGTAAAAAGTGTGTGTGTGTATAAAATAACTCTTTATAAAACTAATTATGGGGAAACTCTCAGGGCTAAGACATGTGTGAAAAATGTCTTGTTTGGGATGTCTTATGCCACGTGTAGATTTTAGTGTATATGTTTATGAGGTCACAGAAGCAGCAAAGCTCTGTGTATAAAAAAACATTGTGTTTGGCCGATAGTGTCCAAGTGCAATGTCTAGTCCTAAAGTTATGATCCTACTTAAGATTTGCAGTTGAAAGTTCTGCTTAATTGGTCTAAGGCACAAATTTGGCTCCCAGACCAAGATTTTAATGTCACTTTGAACAACATTTCACACTTGGATTTTTGTGTTTATCACAATATCACATTTTAACATCACTAATAATGGAATTGAATTCATGTATGATCCAGTGACTGTGTGTGTGTGTGTGTGTGTGTACAGACCGGTGAGTGTGCGTGTGTGTGTGTACAGACCGGTGTGAGTGTGTGTGTGTGTGTGTACAGACCGGTGAGTGTGCGTGTGTGTGTGTACAGACCGGTGAGTGTGCGTGTGTGTGTGTACAGACCGGTGAGTGTGTGTGTGTGTGTGTACAGACCGGTGAGGGTGTGAGGGTGTGTGTGTGTGATGTGTGTACAGACCAGTGAGTGTGTGAGTGTGTGAGTGTGTGTGTGTGCGTGTGTACAGACCGGTATTGTGTGTGTGTGTGTGTGTACAGACCGGTGAGTGTGTGCGTGTGTGTGTGTGTGTGTGTGTACAGACCGGTGAGTGTGTGCGTGCTGAAGACGGTGGGGGCGGGGTTTAGTCCTGGAGCAGAGTTTCCCAAAAGATCGGGCAGTGAAGACGACACGTTGGACAGAGACGGTTCCCTCCTCCACTTGAGCACCTCCGGAAACTCATCCTGCACACAACACGTCACACTGTCAGTGCGCATGCGCACACACACACACACACACACACAGTGACCACCTCAACAGAGTCTAAACAGAGGCACATGTTGTTCACTGTGCTGGGACATGGACGGACAAACCGGGAAAATGAAAGGACATAGATAAGATAGATAGAGAACTAATAATAACAATCGTAAGACAGAGATTGGAATAGCAAAAGGTGACAACTAGGAATGTAACAGTAACCAAAATATCATGATATTGTCAAAGTTCTCACAGTAATATCATGGACCATCACAATATATCGAATCACAAGTCTCTTTGCTTAAATGAAGAGTTATGGTGCAGCAACAGCTAAAAAACAGAGGGAACTACCGTATTTTGCGCACTATAGGTGTAGTTTACTAAAGTCGTACTAAGACACCCCAATAAATTCATATATAAGGTGCTCTGGATTATAAGGCGCACAGTAATTTTTGGGTGAAATTAAAGGCTTTTAAGTGCGCTACATAGTGTGGAAAATACAGAACATAGACCATGATCCTTTGCTCCATTTCAGCGCAGACTACATGAAGAAATAACAGTTCTAAGAACTTTTAGAGGAAAAAGTAGCATAGTAACAGTTTTGTTAGCCTCCACAAAATATCACAATAAATCTCGGACTGCGAGATGTGTATTGTGAAAATATTGTACAGAGAGATTTGGATATTGTTACATCCCTAATCATGAGCCTCCCCACCATATCGTGAACTTTCCCACAGTATCGCAATAAATATCGTACTGTGAGGTTCATACCGTGACGATATTGCATTGTGAGACTTGGATATCGTTACACCCCGTGACAACATTTTGCAGTCCAGAATGTCAGTACACCTAGAAAGCCTTGATTTCTTTTCCACAATAAGAAAATAATATTTTCTCTGTAAATGTCACTTTTTACACAATTGAAGAGGCTTCAGTAAAAAAGTGAGATGTGATGTGGTTGAACAGAAAAGCAGCACTATTTATCTGCAGTGCTGTTTTGCTTTTTGACCCCTTTCACAACACAAACACATGACTGGAGCAGAGTGACGAGGTTCGCAGAGTATTTGGCTGAATCCTGGAGACCGTTACCGTGGAGACCCTCTTTGTCTCTCTCATTATGTAGGAGCTGGTTTTATTGTTTGAACGAGACACAAAAACACACCCTCCATCTTCTTCTGCTGCTCATCCACAGCTCAGTCACCTCTCGCCACACAACCGGCTTTTAAACTGAGATGGACAGCATTATTGTGACTTATGACCTTATTTTCAAAGATTTATGGACTTTTAATCACTGTCCATTTTGACAAGGGTTTCATTATTTGTCTTTTGATGACAGCAAAGTTGAGTTTTACTCAAGACTCAGTAGAATATTTGTAGTTTTAGCCTGGATTTGGTGGATGGTGTCATGCGCATTTCTTCAACTAAATGCATCAAAGTTTTACTCAACTATGTTTTTTTTTTTAATGTAGTTTTCCGGCATTTTCATTTTTAACAGCTGTAAAACCCTTTAAAATCCTATTTCAGCAGAATGTTAAAAATTCTGTAATAGAGGCGAATGGAGCCAAAGTGAAGAAAACATAATATATTTTCAATGATTAACTGATAAACGGATCCAAATGCAAATGGTTTTACAGCATTTTTACAAAAATAAGCAGCAATTTAGAATTTTCAAGGTACACATATTAGTAAATTAGCTTTTCTGTTAAGAAGAAAGTAAAAATAAAATTTTCTAACATTAAACTTGTATTTGAGCTTCACAAAAATATAATTTATGGTGAAATGTGTGATATATTTGTATATGAAGTGACAAACTGTAGTGGACTCAATTTTTCTGTAAGAATTAGTCCATTTAAACCTAAAAATCATGCTTAGTGTCTATTAAAATCTTGTTTGTTAAATACAAATAATGTAAAACACAATTGCACATGGTTTTAAACTGGGCTTTGATTTCACTCATTTATTTTTGGATATTCTGAGATTAATCCGTTTCTCCGCTGAAACCTCATTATGTTCCACTTCACTTTTGCCTCTATTCTGGAATTTAGAATGTTTTTACACATTTTTAAAGGGTCTATAATTGAATTGAAAAGTTTTTTTTTTGTTTACCATTGACAGTGAACTGGGCTCCTCCAGATACTGCTTCAGACTCAGACTTTTTCCATTCACCTGAAAAACACAAACACACATGAGGCTTTTCAACAGTGACTCATCTGTGTGGGCATCAGACAATATTTACATTTTGTGTCATTACTAAAAGTTTAAAAAAATCTATGAAAATAAAAAATATTCAAATGACTAACTAGGGATGTAACAATAACTGAAATATTGTGATATTGTGTCATCCAAAGTCACAATAATATCATGGACCATCACAATATATCGAATTACAAGTGTCTTTGCTTAAATGAAGAGTCATGGTGCAGAAATAGCTTAAAAAACAGAGGGAACTACATAGACCATGATCCTTTGCTACGATTCAGTACAGATTACATAAAGAAATAACTGTTGTAAGTGTTGTAGAAGTTTTCAGCTTGTCCAAGAAAACAAGATAAAAACTTCTAAAGCAATAGTAGGGGTGGGCGATATCTCGATATTTTTAATATATTGAGATATTTTTAAAACTCGATATGAATTCTGACATATCGTATATATATAGATATAATGCTTTTATTCAATTCTGATTTTGCCGCTTCGCTTGTTTGCCTTTTCTGTGGTCACCCCCGCGTGCCCCTGCCTTCCTGATTTTTCTCGCTTGTGTTTCATTCACTCCTCACTATCGCTGTGAATGCCCGAAGTTGGTGCCAGTGAAAAACTTCTAGCACCACAAAACTTTTCCACCATTTACAGACAAGACCATCAGCAGCACATCCTGTGTCCTTTAGGCCGAAAGAAGCTGAACTGTGTGAGAAGCACATGGAGTGAGCTGTTTATGCAAATGAGCCATGCGCTTTTAAGTTTTGTTTCTGTAAAACGTAAACACGTGTGGCAGAACTGCATTAAACACATTATAATGTCAAACAGGCTGACGTGGCTCTAGAGTCGTTATGTATGTTATATATGTTGTAAAGTTTATTTATGCAGAAGATTTTAATCAATAATTTGCTGCAGTGTAACTTGTACAATAGTGTTTGGAAACGTTCGTTTTGATCTGCAGTGGATTGTGGGAAACCTCAGAGCTCCTTACTGCTGGATAGGAACATGAGTCTGTTAAAATAAGGAACCTCCTGAGCTTCCTCTGCTGAAGGAGCTCATGGTTCTGGTCTGGATAACAGAGTTAATGCAAAGATGAGCTTGAGTTGAGTTGTTTTATTTATGAATGAAGAGAAGGAAATATGTATTGTTTCTTTTATTTTACAGTTAAATTATTATTTATGGAATTAGGGATTTTTGTGATCTTTAATGTGGCAGAAGCACTTTGTTCCTACATGAACTGCCGATCTCTTGCACTTCAATAAAAAAAAAGACTTTGTGGAATTTGGCAGATTTGTTTTTGCAGCAGTTTTGGGGGGTTATTTTTCCTATACAGATATCGAGATATATATCTTATATCAAGATATAACAAAATATATTGACATATATTTGTTGCTCCATATCACCCAGCCCTAAGCAATAGGTACTTTTAAATCTGAGTTCTTTGGATGAAATCATTGTAAGGCATTTTAAGAGGAAAAAGTATAATTATAGTATAATTAAGCATTATAATTTTGTTAGACTCCACAAAATATTGCAATTAATATCGTTCCGTGAGATGTGTATTGTGAAAATATCAGACCGAGAAGTGATGTGAATATTCTTACATCCCCGTGACTAATGGGACTATTTCTTTATTTATTTTAAAAACTAAAAACTAGAACAGCTGCCACAGGGATTAACTATAAAAAAAATATCTCTTTTGAATGGGAAGAAGTTCTCAAAATGTTTCATAGGTAATTCAGATTGTTTTTTTTTTAGCTCAGATTAACCTCTAACTTGAGTAAAAGGACAGTTCTTACAGTTCTGACATCAGCTGTAAAGTATCAGTAGCTTTTCTTTGTACAATCTGGAAGTATAATGACGAGTATCTTTGTCTAACATTATCAGAATTATAGAAATGGTAGCAGGAATCCCTTTTATTTGAAGTTATTAGAAAAGTGAGATTTGAATAGATAGTCCCATCCGTGTGTCTGACCTGGAGGTGTGTGCAGATCCTCCTGAGCACGTCGTACACACTGTCTCTGGAGAGCAGCGACACAAACACGTACTGAAACACAACAACACACACACAGTGAATACACTCATAAAAGACTCTTCATTCTAAGGGCAATATATCAACATTTACATCTTAAAAGGTGCATTGCAAAACTTTTCTGGCGGAGAATCTGTCTGCCACATCTGCTCGTCTCCATGGAGATGTTATTGCTTTGTCTGGAATAATCCTCAGCGTGACATTAATCTTATCTATCTCCATGGAGACAAGCCGGTGACACCACCAGACATGTCTGTGGAGAAGTGTTACTGCCGACAGAGTTTATGCTTTTTAAGAGACTTTTTCAAGCTATAAAATCATCCTAAATAAAATAAATGTTGGCTGTATTTAATGCCACACGGTGGAACATTCCATATAAGATAACAATAAGATGTGACTGACAGAAAAGTTACATAGTGCACCTTTGACTTTTTCATCATAACTGCTTGTCTAAATGGAGAATTGCTTTGCACGTATGACAAGGAGATGATCAATAAACCAAAGTTACAAGTCAGATCTATGGAGAGGCAATCCCACTCAAAATGAGAACGCATGCTTTTCAAGTTCTTTTTGTAACTGAATTAAAGCAAGATAGAACACTTTATTTTCTTTATTTCCATGATCCTTTGCAGTCCTGGAATGTTCGATAGTATGACAGTAAACTTGCTGCATCCATGGAAACAAGCTGCAGGTCAGATCTGTGGAGAGGTGAGCCCACTGACCCTAACAATGTCTTTTTTCCCCATAGTTTTTATCAATAAAAACGACAGGAATGGAATGAATGCAAGATAGATGCATTTTATGAAATACTGTGGACCATACAAGCAAAGCAAAAATATCTGCATGGAGACAAGCAAATGACAGACCCTACACCAGAAAAGTTACATAGTGCATCTTTAATATATACTGTAATTGTTTGCAAATCCTCCTCATTACACAAAGTAAGGAGCACCCAAAGGAGACCAACCCAGACACAGGGAGGGAACAGGGAACAGGCAAACTCCAGGCAGAGAATTCCCATGCGGGAATCGAACCCGGGAACTTTAGAACTGACCTTCTGACCCGTATCTATGGTGATGGCGAGGCCATTGGGAACCAGTCCTGCAGTTTTGTGTTTCTTTACCAAACGAACAGACACCACAGGGATACACACCTTCAAACACAAAAATACAAAATGTTAGTAAGAACAATGATGTAATTCAATTAAAAAGAAGATACATTTGGTCTGGATTTACAATTATATTTTCTTTATATAAGAAATCAACTCCAAAAACCAAGTCAACAAATCTGCAATCTGACAGTTAAACAGCAAATTCTACCACACACTTCTGACCTGTCCTCCAGATCAGTTTTAAAATATGGGGATTCTACAGTGTTGTGTTGTCATGTGACTGAACCTTATTGACTTAAACACCCTTTTATTTTCTAACCAGATTGACGTGCATCACTCTTGAGTCCTGCACATTATCAGTCTTTTTTGGCTAAAATAAGTATGTCTGTTGGCGTCACTATGTTTGTTTTGGTTTGTTTGGGCGCTTCATGTTTGGCTTCTGCACAAACCTCAATGCTGCAACGTGATTGGTCTGACTCACTGTCGGATCAGGCTACATGAGTCTCATGAGTTTGTGAACTCACAAATATCAGAATTTTCATCTGACTGTACAGTAGGGATGGGTGGTAATACAGTATTACAGTATCCCGCAGTATCAAAAAGTAGCAACAGTATCAGTTTCATTACCGTCATTAAAAAAATCTCCAGCACATAAGGACCTAATATAATATTATAATTTATTGATACCTACATTTGTTTGCTCAGCACAAATGAATGTGTGGTTGTTTTTTCAGTTTAATTCTATCACGATTCAAAACTAATAGTGTCTATAAAGTTTCTTTTAACGGTTGTGGGGAAGTGACGGTTGATTAGTTTCGATCCGGTGTCACGTGACGCTCATAAGGGTGACCAAGACAAGTCCGGCCACGAGCGAGTTGGTCCCAAAAAAAATTAAATAAAATGTAGGCTTCAGGCCGAATGACAGGGGACACAGGTAAATAAACCAACTGAGTGTACCCGTTGATATCTCAGGATACACTGTAGCCTATAGCCTGTGCCATAGCATAATATTTTCGTTACTGCATTTGCTATTTGTTGTTCTTTTATTAATGGTGTTTTTATTATTACCATATTTTTCAGATTATAAGGCACAATGTCAGTAATGTTGAATTCTCTCATCTAATTTCATACATAAATTGCACTGGATTATAAGGCGCATTAAGTGAAACAAACGAACGACACTTGAGACTGATCCTTAGTCCAGGCGTCCACGATCCATTGGTGAATGTGGATTATGAATGTGAATGTGGCTGGATCATTTATTTTATTTATTTTTTTCCTATGAGGATGACTCAAATATACATTGAGTAATAATGTGTTTAATGCAGCTTTGTGCACATTTGTTTACGTTTTACAGAAACTAAACTTAAAACCACATGACTCATTTGCATAAACTATAAAGCGCTGATAAAAACAGCTCTTTGCTTGTGCGCTGATGCGGTTCAGCTTCTGTCGAACTAAAGGACACGACTCATTGGAGTATAAGTGTTCTTTCTGTGACAGAGAATGTGCGTCTGATGGTGAGTCTGTTCTGTGTGTGTGTTGTGTTGGAGATGGTTCATGTGAAACTTTTCAGAGATTATAAGTCTGCAGGTCATACGCATAGACCGTATAGTGGTGCGTCTTCGTACCTTACCAAAGACATTTTGGTAATCCGGTATAATTTGGTAATACCGTATACCCCCGTAAAATGCTGAGAAGGTTTAACCCTACTGTGCAAGGCCAACATTTTCCATACAGTGTAGAAATACATTTGACATATATTTATTTTCATAATGTGGCCCGAGATCTGGACTCTGGACTAAAGCTGGACAAACACAAGTCTAGACCCAACACAAACATTTGGAGCGCGTTGAGCAGAGGAGGGTTTAAGAATAATTGTGTTACAACAGGAGTTAGTTGGTGCAAGGGTTTAGTCTTGGTTCTTTGTTTAGATCTCTATTTGTCCTGATTTAGACCTGGGTTAGTCCTGGTTTATACCCAGTTCAGTATACAACCTGTTTAACCCTGGGTTAGTCATTCTAAATGTTATTATTATAATGTAGTCCTGATTTGGTGCCAAGTTAGTAACTTCCTTTCAGGTTTTAATTACCTGGTGTGGTCCAGTTGTAGACCTGGATTAGCCTTGTAATAATTCTCACCTACTTGAGGTTTAATGTTTATAAGTGTTTTGCAGTGGTCCAAAGTTATACTTCACTTCACTTACGCATTTTGAATATCCTAATTATTCACCACAACGAGCTCATGAGCACTTCTCACAACTTTCAGAGACCAGAACGATGTTTTGCTGTCATGTAGTAAGTAAGTTTTTATTTATATAGAGCTTTTCACAAATATCATGTCACAAAGACACTTTACAGAGCAAAAAAACATTCTACTTATAAATTATGCCAAAATGTTCGAGATTTTGACTTTATCATTTGACAGCTTTGAGTGGGACACTTGCTTAAGTTTTGACGAAAATCTCATCTGATCAGATACAATTATGGATCTAAAATAAAATCATGTTATTATACTTCCATGGACACAAAGACTGACACTTCTTCAGCACTGTGCATCGAAACTCCGCCTTCCCCCTCCTTGCTTCTGGACGCTCTCACAATGAGAGAACAGAACGCTCCTTTGATCACAAAATGTACCTACACTTATGAAGCGCATTATTATGAAGGCATATTAGCTACTGTGGAGAGACTTTTTATTTGATGAAAACTGACCTCATATTAGCGGACATGCTTTCATAAATCCCATCTGAAAAAGTCTGTAGCATTGTGAACTCAGATGCATGTAGCCGCTGTACAGGCATAGTCTCAGCCTCAGCAGCAGTATCTCATGATAAATACAAGATAAATACAGGATAAAACATGTGCTCAGATGTGCTGATAGAAGTTAAAGTCTGTGGTGTTTGTCACGCTCTGAATCACAGACTGAAGCCTCCTGTGGTGAGAGGTGCAGGAGCAGGGCTCTATCAGAGCAGAGGACAGAGGACAGAGGCACTGTTAGGAAAATAACCCATGAAAAAATAAACAGAGGCTACATTGTCTTATATTATTGAGCTTTGGCTAAGTAGACCTCTAAAATGCACTGAAATACAGTAAATTGTCCAAATTGTACCCTGCTGAGGACCCCACACCACTGAAATATATACAGTAATATCACACATTTGTAATATTGAATTCAACCAACTGAAAGTGTCAGTTACCTGTCGCCCCTGAACCCGATGTCCTCCTTTTTGATAACTCTAATCTGGTCACCCTTATATTGTTGTGTAACTGCAAGTGTTTCTAATAAACTCACAAGCTAAGAAAAGACTTGAATAAATGCATCAAAATAAATACATGAAAATCCTCTCACCTTGATGTCTTTTCCAAACAGATTTGCATAAAAACACAGCCAGTGTCTGGAGATGTACAGGCGTCCCTGAAGGAGGATGTCCCGCAGTAAGGCACAAGAGTAAACTGGAAAAAAAACATGAACAAGACACATGACGACATTATACAGGCTGAATCATATAAAGGTGCACTATCTAACTCTTCTGGTAGGGCTCTGCACCTCCATGTCTCCATGGTTATGTTACTGCTAAGCTTGGCCACAGTACTTGAGTATTGCAACACAAAAAAACTAACAAAAAAAACAAAAAAAAAAAAAACATGCATTATAGTGAGTGGGATGGCCTCTTCATGGATCTGACCTCTGTCTTGACCAGGTGGCGCCGCCTGCTTGTTTTACGTTTAATGCCATACGCCACCAGAAAAGTTACACACAGGGCACATTTAATGTCTTAAGGAGCATTTATTGAGAAAATCTATAATTTGTGGAGTAGTAGTTGTAGTAGTAGAGGTAATAGCGATATCTGTAGAAGTAGTAATAGGTATAGTAATATAGCAATAGCAGTAGTAGTCATAGTGGAGGTAATGGTTACACCCTTATCATCAGAAGGCCCTGTAGTGACAAGGTCCACTAGTCAGAAAATCATTTCCTCTTCTATTGGTTTGTCAGTAACATTTCTCTTGAACAATTGAATGTATATTTGATGAACGCAACAGGGAATAATCCCTGGATATCAGGGAAGAATTAGTAAACTTTTGGATGTTTACCAATTAAAAATGGCTGCAACATCAACATTTTTAAAGATTAATTTGTTGGTTTACAAACCCACCAACGCTATATTAAAAGAAAAAGATTTTAATAAAATTGAAATGAAGGTTGTAGAGCTCGAATTACTGAACATTTTGCAAGTTGTTGCCTGAAAATCAGACAATTATTAACCCTGTTCCACTTAAGACAGACATTTCCACCCAAATCATTATTTCCTCAAACATTTTTGCTCTACTTTAAGGGTTTAATATATTTATTACTTTTAATATTTACTTTTAAAAATATTTAAAACTTGAAATACAATTTCATTTGTAACAATTTGTAACACTACCTGAACATGGATTTTCTGACTAGAGGCTCTTCTGATGATAAGGCTGACTCCGGAGGTAATAGCAGTATTTGTAAGAGTTGTAACCGTTATTGTACTAGTAGGAATAGTAGTAGTAATAGTAATATTAATAGTAATAGTAGTAGATGAGCATACCTTTCATGAGGATCTCCTCTTTGGGAACAGTCTGGAAGAGTTTGTGATACTGAGAGTTGTATTTACTGACTGTCTGTAACAAAGGAAACAGTAACACACAGACATAATGAAACAAAGCGTAAGAACACTCAGAGTGTGTTTATTTGACAAATATACTGAGCTCAGATTATATGTGATGAGGGTAAGCCTTTCTAAGACAGTCATATTATTTTTGAAACAGTTCAAAGTGAAATTGCTTGTTTGTCCCAAGAGCTGAAGTGCTCCAGTCCAAACTCACATCACCTGAGTAATCGCATTAGCCCTTAAGATTATACTACAGTAAGTGTATTTTGTTTCAGTGACGTTTTATTTAAAACCCCAGTGTGGGACATAAGAGGCTTGTGTTAGCATTAGCATTAGCATTAGATTAACACTGTTTACAAATGTGGCAGATAAACAAAAACAGTGTTCAGGAGATTTGGACCAATCAGAATGCAGTATTTGGAGGGTGAGTGCTGTTAGCCCCCCGGGGTACAGTCCCGTCTCTGTTTCTGTTCACTCTGTACACCTCTGATTTCCAGTACAGCTCCAAGTCCTGCCACCTGAAGAAATTCTCTGATGACTCTGCAGAGGTAGTGTGTATCAGAGATAGATTGCAAACTTTGTGGAGTGGTCCCAGGCAAACCATCTGCTCCTGAATGTTGACAAGACCAAAGAACTGGTGATGACTTCAGGAGGAAGAGAACAACAGTGGAGCCCCTCACCATCCAGGGCCATGAGGTGGAAATAGTGACTACTACAAGTACTTTGGTGTCCAGGTGAACAACAGACTGGACTGGAGGTACAACAGTAATGCTGTGTACAAGAAGAGCATGAGGAGACTCTACTTCCTGAGAAAGCTCAGGTCTATCAATGTGTGCAGCAAGTTACTGGAGATCTTCTCCCAGTCTGTGGTGGCCCCTGGACTGGGCTGTGTTCTGCTAGAGGAGCAGCTCCATAAACGCTGGACATTGGGCGGATCGACAAACTGATCCATAAAGCTGCTCATGTGGTCGACTGTGAACTGGAGACATTTGTCACAGTGAGAGACACGAGGACACTGGACAAACTGCTCAACATCATGGACACTCCTGCTCCCCCACTGCACCAGACTATAGAGAGACACATAATACTCCCTACAACTGTACTACAACTCACTTTTGTGGAACAGATAATACTCCCTACAACTGTACAACTCACCCTTATGGAACTGATAATACTCCCTACAACTCTACAACTCATTTTTATGTAACAGATAATACTCCCTACAACTGTACAACAACTCACCCTTATGAAACAGATAATACTCCCTACAACTGTACATAACTCACCCTTATGAAACAGATAATACTCCCTACAACTGTACATAACTCACCCTTATGTAAAAGATAATACTCCCTACAACTGTACAACTCACACTTATGTAACAGATAATACTCCCTACAACTGTACAACTCACCCTTATGTAACAGATAATACTCCCTACAACTGTACAACAACTCACCCTTATGTAAGAGATAATACTCCCTACAACTGTACAACTCATTTTTATGAAACAGATAATACTCCCTACAACTGTAAACTCACACTTATGTAACAGATAATACTCCCTACAACTGTACAACAACTCACCTTTATGTAACAGATAATACTCCCTACAACTGTACAACAACTCACCTTTATGTAACAGATAATACTGATACCCTATGTCCTGTCAATCATCATATCATTCTTCCTTATGACCTCTTGTATATAGTTGACATATTTTATTATTTATTTTTCTATTTTATTTGGACTTGTACATACTGTAGACATTTATATACTTGTTTTATTTGACACCTGTCTCTCACTTTGTTTGTTACTTATTTAGAATGTATTATTTCTCTCTGTTATTATAATATATTGTGATGTGTGAGCTACTGCGCCCAAATCATTTCCTTTGTGGTCAAAAGTTTGTCTGATCTACGTCGCCTCGAGAAGGTAACTGTACACTAAATAGTGATACCTGTATCAAACCTGACAAACACTGGTCTGCTCTAAAAAACAAACAGCTCCATGCAGCCGTCTCTGTGGGACTTCCTGTTCCTGTCTACAACAACAAAGCCCGGCTCAGGAGCAGGCCTCACTGTTTCAACTGTTTGGGTGAAAAACACACTCACACAGGCTCACAGCTTTGTTATGAGACCTGACCCACTAAACACCGCTTCAAACTGGATACAAAACACTGAAAGGAGTACAGGGACTGTTCACCAAAGAGCCACTGCATGAGATTTTTATGCAACTGAAAAACATAAAAACTAAACTAGTTAATTTTAAATAGTTTGCAGTGGTCCAAAGTTATTCCTCACTTACCTTACACATTCTGAACATCCTATGACTTTATAAGCACTTTTCACAACTTTCAAAAGCCAAAGTTTTGATGCCGCCATAATGCTCCCTGTTTTGGTAAAACACTCTTGTAATCCTGTAGTTCAGACAAACATGTTCTGAAAGGATTGGGATTTGTGTATTAATGTATCCGGTCATTAAATACCTCTCTCAAATGTTCATGCTTTTGCAGTTGTAGAAAGTGCACTGTGAACATAATCCTACTTTAGAAACTTTTAAAAACTAGTCCCAATTGCAATACTTATACTTATACTTATAATGCAGGAGTTTTATCAGTTTTATACACTGCTTTTCTACACTCAAAGACGCTTCACAGAGCATTATTCATTCACTCTATATCCAGTGGTGGAAAGCTACTGTTGTAGCCACAGCTGCCCTGGGGCAGACTGACAGAAACGAGGCTGCCAATCTGCACCATCAGTCCCTCCGACCACCACCAACACACCACTTTCATACTAGGCAATGTGGGTGAAGTGTCTTGCCTAAGGACACAACAACAGTTTTTGCAACTGACGCCCCCCCTTTGGCTCCTGATTTTCAGAGCGGTCTCCCCTCCAAGTACTAACCACTTACTATACTTATACTTAATACTGCAACACACAGGTTATTGAGCTGCTGTAATCACGTCATTTCCTGGAGGATCAATAGTTTAAAGTCTAAAATGTGTTTTCGATTGTTAAGTGTGCTACTGTGACTTTGCTCTTATATCTATATTTCCACAGAGCTCAGTCTGTCTGTGTATTGCTCTGCTGTGACAGAGACTTAGTACATAGTAGTACAGTCATAGTACGCATTATCTGTGTACTATGTCTGCAGTATTTCCCTTCTGTGCTACTCAAAACTATACTTTAAAAAGCCCATATTATGCAATTTTCTGACCTATGTTATAATGTTCCTCATCACAAACACACCTGGAGTTGTGTTGCTTCATTCACACATGTTTCACACACAAATCCTGCATATTGAGACTGAGTTCTTCTCTCAAACAGAAAACACTCTGCTCCACCTTGTGATGTCATCTATATTCAATATTTTACAAAATATTTTTTTTTTAGGTTTCTGATTTTACTTTTACTTTTACCTGGTTGATCATGATATCACACTAGGGAATTCCATAACTGTTACCAAGCAACCATGTAGTACACCGTGTTAAATCTACACACATAAAAAGATTTGACAAATGAAGTGATAATAAAGCTCCTTTATTTTGTTGAATTCACATTTAAAGTGTTAGAAAAAACAAAACAAAACAAAAAAAACTTTGGCTGGTTTCAGCCCTGGAATTTCCTATCTCTACTAAATAAAATGTAAAAGGAGCTGAAAAGTACCACTTCATGACATCACAAGGTGGAACAGAGCATTTTGAGCTTTGGAGAATGTAGACAGACATCATAATAAAGGGTCACTTAAACATGTGTCAATGAAATAAAACACAACTCTAGGTCTGTTTTTGAGGAGGTAACAACATTCTAACATGTCTACAAACTCACAAGAGTCCATTTTGCGTAATACAGGACTTTGAAAGTTACACTCTAAAGACCTTTTGAAGCAGCTCCTCTTCTCCTTTAATACAAGTACAAGTCCCCCTGGCCCTAAAATGGGAATATATTTAAACACAAAGATCCACTCTGAGCTTTCCTCCAGTTGACGTCGCCTGTTTTCACTGAATTGGGTCAGAGGGTGTTTATGTGGAGACCGGGCAGACTGAGGAAACTTGTGCAGTGGCTTTACACAGACTTTAAAGAGCTCCTGCTGACATGTTATGGTCCATTTGAACTCTGAAGGAGCCTTGTTATTGTGCTCGAGCAGTTGGTCTCACGTTTAGACTGTGTATTTGCTCCGATGTGGATAAAGCTGGACTGTGGAATATTTCTGGTAGGGTTAAATGTTAAAGCGCATAACAGGTTGACCCCCTCATTTTACAAAAACACACATCATTATATCTTTTTTTTTTTTTTTTTTTTTTTTTACAAAAAATTTTACTAAACATTTTACAATTTCTTTTCTAATTTGATAATGTTAGTTCCAGTGTTGGAGTGTGCATTTCACACCTAGGCCTTCAGGAGTGCTCCGTCTGAAACAATCCTCAATACTCCTCCTCAAGAACTATTTTATGGTTACATTATACACAGTATAAAGAGCTGTGGAGATTCTGGGCACAGAGAAGTGAGGAGAGGGGGGTGTGGGTGCACGGAGAAGAAGTGAGGAGCACTGGGGCTAAACCAGAACTAAACCAGAACTAAATCAGGACTAAACAAGAACTAAACCAGGACTAAACCAGAACTAAACCAGAACTGTTTGTCAAGATTGACCCAATCTTGACTGTCGGGTGACCTCGAATGAAAGGACCGCTCTCGCTCTCTCTCTTGCTCAAGTCCAAGATTAGACCTGGTTTAGTCCTGGTTTAGTCCTGGTTTAGTCCTGGTTTAGTCCTGATTTAGTCCTGATTTTGTCCTGGTTTAGTCCTGGTTTAGTCCTGGTTTAGTCCTGGTTTAGTCCTGATTTAGTCCTGGTTTAGTCCTGGTTTAGTCCTGATTCTGCTACAGATGCAGTTTGCTGCTTTGGCTGGTTTGCTCTCTGACTGTCCAATCAGCTGCTCTTAATCCGGTGATGTCATTAGCTGGTCCTGGTGACACCAACTCAAAATCTGATTGGTTGAAGCAACAGTTTCATGGACATTTATTTTGTGTTCGAGTTCCTCCAGAACAGATTGTGAAGGCCTCAGAGACACTTCTTTGACTTTGACTCTGCCTAGCAACAAGTGACAGCTGAAATGTAATTGGTCAAAAGCTTTAATATGAAAATCCATGTGTGGAAGCAGCACAAGCATCGGAAAAACTCTGAAAGGAAGCGGACAGAACATTTGGATATATGTAATGAATTTATCTAATAATATATGTAATATATGTGATTCAGATATTTTTTAGGCCAGCACAGAAGGCCTTGCAGACCCTGATGCCCCACCACTGGTTAGTTCCTGGTTGGAAACATGACATCACCCTAGAGGTTACCTAGCAACCATGTAGTACATTGGGCCAAAACTCCTCTAATGTACACAAAAATTATGATTTGTCAAAAAAAGATACTAAAACACCTTTATGTTGAATTTGTGCTTAAATATTGGAAAAAAAATAGTTTCTTCTGCAAACTGTTGAACTTTTGGAATTCTCCCTAGAGTGATGTCATCAATATGAGACTCTCTAAAATAGAACTCTGCACTTTTTTCAACATATATCATTTGTATGAAGTCAAAATGAGAAAATCATCAAAATGCCATAAGTACTTCAATTATGCTTTTTTCTGGAACATTCCACAGTTTGGTACAGAATTATGAAGCTTATACTTTATCAATTACATGTGTTTTTATAGCTCCAAAATACCTTGAGCAAACTTGCCTTTCCACAGACCTGACCAGTAACTTGGCCTAGTGGCATCATCTACTTGATAATACTCAACTAGAGATTTCAACACTAAGGAAAAGGCTTGATACTCTACATCAGTAAAATGTAATTTTCAACACAAAACCATAGACTCTTTAATATCATCCTCTGCTCTTTTATGAATTTGAACATATAATGTAGAGTGTGTTTTTTACATACCGAGCCTCTAGCACTTCTTCACGTCTTCATATGAGAGGTCATCAATGAACTGTAACCTGTAGAGCAAAAACGCACATTTGAATCAAGATGGAGACCCAGACATTTTTCCTGGAGCCGGTCGTCTGACAGTGAAAGCATGTGAAATGGGAAATGGTCATATTTATACAGCTTTTCCATCACCAAGGAACTCAAAATGCTCTATATCAAGCAGCCACTCACCCATTCATACACACAATCACACACCTATGTACACACACTGGGGGCAGGGGGGGGTAAATGCCCTGCCCAAGGACACAATGGCATTCATATTCATCTGTGGGAGATGAAATCGCACCTCCAACCTGTGTGTCAATGGATCTGACTGCTCTAGCAATGATGTTTATGTGGAGAGCAGGATTCGGACAAATACTCAAGTGAGCTACTGTGGTTTGGAGCAGAGTTTAGCCTTTAGGAGAAAGAATCGGAGTGATTTGTGTTACAGTGTATTTGTTTCAAAGTCTGTACCCAAACCCTGTATCCAGTTTGTTCACATGTATTTGAAAATGTGTTTTTTTCATATCTCCAGGGCCAGAAGTTGATGATACTGTGTATAATGAAGTTAGCCCGTTGTGCGTCCGCTGTGGCCTGACTGAGGCGCCTCTAGGACACATGTTTTGGTCTTGCTCATGTCTGCAAACCTACTGGAGGAACATTTTTAACACTCTAACCCAGGTATTCAATATTAGGTTGGAACCAAACCCGGTATTGGCACTTTTTGGTGTTTTGGAGGATCATGTACATTTTTGTGCTACAAAAAAATCTTCTTTGGTTTTTACTTTACTTAAGGCTTGCCAAACAATTTTATTCAAGTGGAAAGACGAATTTAAGACTTTTGTGAAAAAAATAAGACTTGGACAACAAAATGTAAGACTTTTAAGGGCCTTAATTTAAGATTTTTAAGACCCCGCGGCTGCACTGTAGAAGAACATTTTGATTTTTAAAAAAAAGGAAATGTGTCTTTCCCCAATACAGAGAGATTGTATAAGCAGCTCTTGAGGTCAAAATAAGTCTGCTGTGTAATGTCTGTATCTTATTTTCAAGGATTTTATTGTCAGAGAATCAGCAAGTGCACATTATCATGCTAGTTGCTGTTAGTTTGTGCTCTGGGCTGGTCTGAGCGTTATGAAAGCGCTTTAATACTCATCGTGGTGAATAATCAGGATGCTCAGAGTGCTAACAGAAGACCTTCCTCCAGAAAAGGTGCATAGTGTGCCTTTAAAACACAACTACAGGAGATGTTTAGCAGGACAGGGCAGCGTGGGAACCGGTCTGCAGTGACGCGAGTGTAAAGTGTTTTGTTGGAGTTTGTGGGTTTAACGCAAGGCCTCACTCTGCTCCACTGAATTAAGCCTCTGTGATTTTCCCCATTCTCCTCTGCACCTCTCCTCCTCCTCCTCCTGCAGCAAAACGTGAACCCCACACACGTGCACCCCATCCTCATCATGAACAGAGAGAGAGAAGGGAGGGAGGGAGAGAAAGAGAGAAAAAGAGAGAGAAAGAGAGAAAGATAGAGAGAAAGAAAGAAAGAAAGAAAGAAAGAGAGAAAAGCAAGAGCAAAAGGGGGAGAGGGAGAGAGGGGGAGGAAGCGAGAACAGTGAGAAAATGAGGGAAGGAGGGAAAGAAGGAGGGAGGGAGAAAGCGACAGAAAGAAAGAGAGAGGAAGAGAGAGAGTGAGAGAAGGAAAGAGAGAGGGAGAGCAATAGCCTAGATAGCAACCTTAGCGGTTTCAGAGGAACAGAGTTAAGGTGAGCTGATTTCTAGTGCAGATCCCCAGTGCATTTATTCCATTTCCAGACCAAAAAAAAATATTTACAAAAGTTACAAGGTTAAAAACAGGCATGGCAGTCACCTGCGCTCACACAGCACCTCCCCCTGACAAAGCTTAGGCTGGCTTCTTTATAGGCCTCCTCCTAATTGGGTGAGCTCAAGTTCACGATCAGGTAAGTTCCCATCATTTTAGATTCAATATTTAAAAGTTAAGTATCAAAAGAACAGTGCCAAAAATATAAAATTATCTTTAAATACAAAAATATGCATCTTTATTTAAATTTGCAGTGTTTAATGGTGAATTTAAAATACTAAGTAGACAAAGTTCAAATCTGTGCTTCTCTCCTCCCCACAGTCAACCAGCCAGATGGTTGGCTGCCCCACAACCTTCTTAAGGTGCTCCGGCTGCCCGGGGACTCTTTTGGCTGGAACACCTGAAGCAGACCACACCAGAGAGTACATTCCTTTTAACTACAACACTTATTTTTTTACTTACTTTTTTCTTTTACAGGTAACTTAACAACAATCTGTACATCAGTTAATTCAATAAACACTTTTAAAACTTTGTTTCTATTTCTTATTATCTTACCTTTTCACTAGCACTAGGCCCATGTAATGGACTAGCTACATTACATTACAGAGAGAGAGAGACAGAACAAGAAGGAAAAGAAAGGAGAGAAGAGAGATGGGGGGTTCTAGAGGAAAAAGAAACGGGGAGAGGCTGGAAGGTTTTGTTCACATCTGTTAACTCTGAGAGACACAGGTCCTGATCATGGTTCAGTTCTGGTTTACATCTACATATTGTTTAGTTCAAAAGAAATAGGGTTACAAAAGTATTTGCCATTAGAGGCCCAACAGTTTTTCAGACTGTTACTGTCTTGACAATAGCGTCTCTATGGATTCAACATGGAGGATTTCACAAGTAATGTTGGCTTTTTGACCTGCTGTTGCTTTCATTTTAAACTGATCTACCCCAACACGACTCAGAGTCTGGTCTTGGTCTGGTCCTGGTCTGGTCCTGGTCTGGTCCTGGTCTGGTCCTGGTCTGGTCCTGGTCTGGTGCTGGTCTGGTGCTGGTCTGGTAATGGTCTGGTCCTGGCCTGGTTCTGACAGCTGAAATAGTCCAGGTTTCATCGATTTCCTACTTTAGTTGCAGTTTAGTTCTGGTTTAATCCTGCTTTAGTCCTTACAGTGTACAGAGGCACACAGGCCGTGCATTGTCTGTGCTGCTTTGAAGAGCTGCCAAAAGCGATTCACACTGAACTAATGAGGAAAGACTCAGCTCCACATATGTCCCCAATCAAAAGAAGAAGCAATAAACAAAGCATGACAAAAAAAATCAGCCCTGTAGGATCTTATTATTTACAAAATCTGGCAGCCCTGTAGTTCAGACTCTACAAACATGTTCTGAAACACATGGGCGTCTTGTATTCGTTTAACAGAATATTTCAGCCTTTTTTCAAATGTAAGTGCTCCTGGGTAATGTGGCCTGCATTGTGAACTGACTCTTAATGTTTAAAGGTGCAGAGTCAGCCATCTGCATGCCTCCGTCGAGATGTTATTGCTTTGTCTGGAATGTTCCACAGCACAGCATTAAACTTCTAAGCATAAGGTAGAGGTAAGATCTGAGGAGAGTCTCACAGTAATAATGCACATATTTAATAACAGACTGTATAAAGAAGTGGACTTGGAGAGCGTGACGTCACCCACAGTCAAATGAAGCTCACCGAGGCTGGCACTTATGGAGTCACCATATTAGGAAGAGGAATTGATTTACGGACAAAAGAGCAAAATAAAAAACATCAGGATCATGAAGAGCAGCTTAATACAAACATTTTAAGACCAAAAGGAGGAGACAGCAGCAGTTACCAAGAGAGGGGCGACATTTTTCCATTTTTTTGGCAGACCAATCAGAAAAGTGACATGGTGCAACTTTAAAACCCTGATGACGAGAGAAAGTTGCTCATATTTTGTGTATGTCGTATGTTGCTGTAGTTCTCTGACCTTAAGGGCAGGGGGCAGTGTGGGTCATCGTCCCGCAGTGGCTCGACATCGTGTGGGGGAGGGGCACTGAGGTCCTCACTTGGCTCCAGCGACTCTGTCATCTTCACGATCTGCAGAAACAAACGAACAGACCACGATAGTCTCCAATGGAAATGCACTCTCTGCCCCGGCCATTTCAACGACACAAAAGCATGTTCTTGTACTGATACTTTGCACTGGCATCATTCTGCCAATACATACATGTGTATGTATTGGCAGAATGTTCAACAGTTACTATGACGACACAATGTACACATTAGTAAATAAAACCAAGATCATCTGAAAGCTCAAGAAAAATATAAAATGGATTTAAACAAGAAGCCTGTGATCAATATGAATGTTCATGGTCCTGTTTAGGAGTTTGATTTTCAACAAGAAGGTGAGAGTGACTCACTGAAAAACTGCTGGTTTTTATTAACATCTAATAAGCCTCAGACAGAGCAGTGCCTACAGTTAGGCTATCACCACACCTCCAAGGGATGTTGATGAGATCAGCTGCAAAGCATCACTTAGTTTATTACTTTATATTTCATTGCTCACTGAGACATTTGAGTACAAGTATTTAAGTATTAAGTATTTAAGTTTTTTATTTGGTGGGGAAGTACAAATATTTACCGTTTTGCATAAGTTAAGATCTGTGGAAAAAAAAAAAGTACATAAATACAGGAAGTAAGTATGTGGTTTTAAAGGTGGGGGTAATAACTGCAGCACGGGTAATTCTTGGTGTATGGACGGATCCTTCTCCTCCAGACTTTAACAGATGGATGGACAATTTGATGAAAATAGTCTCATATGAGAAATGATTGGCTCAGTTAAATGATAACATGGACATTTTTGTAAAATCTTGGGCACCTGTTTTTGATTGAAATGCCTGTGACAGGTTTGATTGCTCAATTGACTAAAACACATTTGAAACTGGTACATTGGGAAAACAAGTCTTTGTTTTTTGCAATTTATGGATGTGGTATCGATGTGGCCTTTTTAATTAGAATTGAAATTAATTGTATTTGTAACAGGTTAAACTGAGTGGAAATTACAGAGTTACGGAGGCTTGTCACATGCACTTTGACAGTTTTATTGTATTGTTTATTTTTTGCTATGGAGTGCAATGGCATATGCATATATACAGATACATTTGTTGTTTTACTCCTTCGGGCCAAAGTAATGTGCTGCTGTCTGTTATGTTATATGGTAAAAATTGTAAAATAAAATAAAAACTTGAATAACAAAAAATAAATAAATAAATACAGGAAGTAGCCATGAGTTAACAGAATATCTCTACTTATATCATTTATTTTGTGTCTGATCATAACTATTGTGTTTGTTTAGACTTGTTTGTATGTCTCAGTCGTGTGTATATTGTGTCACTTCATAGATATATTCATTCACAATCATTATTAATGAACAGTGTTGAGAAGGTCACTTTTAAAATGTATTCCCCTACAGATTACAGATTACATAGCCCAAAATGTAGTTTGTAACATAATCCATTAAATTACTTAAAGTGAGTAACGTAATCTGAATACTTTGGATTACTTAATACTGTCATGTTTTTTTAAAACTACATGAATATAGCAACCACATTCTGAAAATTCACGTTTGTTCTCTTCAAATTCTCCCTGGTTTAGACCTGATTTAGTTCTGGTTTAGTCCTGGTTTAGACCTGGTTTAGTTCTGGTTTAGACCTGGTTTAGACCTGGTTTAGACCTTGGTTTAGTCCTGGTTTAGACCTGGTTTAGTTCTGGTTTAGTCCTGGTTTAGACCTGGTTTAGTCCTGGTTTAGTCCTGGTTTAGACCTCATTTAGTCCTGGTTTAGACCTAGTTTAGTCCTGGTTTAGACCTTGTTTTAGTCCTGGTTTAGTCCTGGTTTAGTCCTGGTTTAGACCTGGTTTAGACCTGGTTTAGACCTGGTTTAGTCCTGGTTTAGTCCTGGTTTAGTCCTGGTTTAGTCCTGGTTTAGTCCTGGTTTAGACCTGGTTTAGTCCTGCTTTTAGTCCTGGTTTAGTCCTGGTTTAGACCTGGTTTAGTCCTGCTTTTAGTCCTGGTTTAGTCCCGGTTTAGTCCTGGTTTAGCCCAAAATGTGAAAACAAGAAAATACCGCCCTGTAATCCATTTATTTCAACCAAGTAACTGTAATCCAATTACCACTCATTGAAACAGTAACTGTAACTGAATACAGTTCCTCATAATTTGTACTCTGATTACGTAACTCCCGTACATGTAATCTGTTACTCCACAACACTGTTAATGAATTCCTCTCAATTGCACTGTTACGGCCCCGACTCGAGAGACCAAAACAACGAAAGGAGAACACAACAATGGCGGTGCTTTTAACCCCTTGAGAGCGCATTTATTATAAAAACATGATGTTAGTAGTCGTGGCAGTGTGGCAGGCCCGGGGAATGGGCCGGAGCAGAAGGAGGAGGAGAAAGCAGAGGAGAGGAGGCAGAGACGTGTGCCTGAAGGGCTTTTATCCTCCCGCAGTGTTTAGGGGCAGAGCCAGCAGGACAGGACAGGTACACCTGCAGAGAGTGAGAGAGAGAGCAGCAGGGAGGGCACAGGGAGAGCTACAGCCTGGGCCATGACACGCAAACTGACAAATAAAACTAAAATGTTAAGCAATTTAAAGGTCCTGTATATTAGAATGTCGTTACCTCCTCAAAAACAGACGTGGAGTTGTGTTTTGTTTCATTCACACATTTGAGCAATCCTGTATTATTTGTCTGTCTACATCTCCAAAACTCAAACTGCTTTTACCTTTCCAGGACTGAAATCATCCAAATGTGTGAAGTTTAAAAACACACTGGAGCACTTCCTGTATTACCGCAGCACAATGTGGAAGTGGAGTGTTGTCTGTTTGAGAGAAGAACTCAGCCTAAATGTGTAGGGTTTGTGCTAAACATGTGAATAAAACAAAACTAGTTATAAGGTAAGGCTGTGCAATTAACTGAATCTTGACTGCGATTTCAATATGTGTGTCAAATGATCTCCAAACTCATATAATCATCTTGAAACAAGTTGAGGGGCACTCGCACTAGGACTTTAGAACCCTGCCCAAGCATGGATCGCCCCTAAAGCGTGTTACGTTTGTCCAGTGTGAGCTCCAAACAATCCGTGTCCAGGCACAGCAGAGTTGGAGGAGGTGGGGTAGCCAATATTTATTTTAAATTCGAAAGCTTTGCATCAATTATCAACAGTGCTGGGGAGTAACAGATTACATGTACGGGAGTTACGTAATCAGAGTACAAATTATGAGTAACTGTATTCAGTTACAGTTACTGTTTCAATGAGTGGTAATTGGATTACAGTTACTTGGTTGAAATAAATGGATTACAGGGCGGTATTTTCTTGTTTTCACATATTGGGCTAAACCAGGACTAAACCAGGACTAAACCAGGACTAAAACAAGATGTAAACCAGGACAAAACCAGGTCTAAACCAGGACTAAACTAGGTCTAAACCAGGACTAAACCAGGTCTAAACCAGGACTAAACCAGGACTAAACCAGGTCTAAAACAGGACTAAAACAGGACTAAAACAAGGTCTAAACCAGGAATAAACCAGGACTAAACCAGGACTAAAACCAGGACTAAAACCAGGACTAAACCAGGACTAAACCAGGTCTAAACCAGGACTAAAACCAGGTCTAAACCAGGACTAAAACCAGGTCTAAACCAGGTCTAAACCAGGACTAAAACCAGGTCTAAACCAGGACTAAACCAGGTCTAAACCAGGACTAAACCAGGACTAAAACAAGGTGTAAACCAGGACAAAACCAGGTCTAAACCAGGACTAAACCAAGATTAAACCAGGTCTAAACCAGGACTAAAACAGGACTAAAAGAAGGTCTAAACCAGGAATAAACCAGGACTAAACCAGGACTAAAACCAGGACTAAACCAGGACTAAAACCAGGACTAAACCAGGACTAAAACCAGGACTAAACCAGGACAAAAAACGAGGTCTAAACCAGGACTAAACCAGGACTAAACCAGGTCTAAACCAGGACTAAAACAGGACTAAAACAAGGTCTAAACCAGAAATAAACCAGGACTAAACCAGGACTAAAACCAGGACTAAACCAGGACTAAACCAGGACTAAACCAGGACTAAACCAGGACTAAAACCAGGACTAAACCAGGACTAAAACCAGGACTAAAACCAGGTCTAAACCAGGACTAAAACCAGGTCTAAACCAGGTCTAAACCAGGTCTAAACCAGGGCCAATTTGAAGAGAACAAACGTGAATTTTCAGAATGTGGTTGCTATATTTATGTACTTTTAAAAAACATGACAATATCAAGTAATCCAAAGTATTCAGATTACGTTACTCACTTTAAGTAATTTAATGGATTACATTACAAACTACATTTTGGGGTATGTAATCTGTAATCTGTAGCGGAAAACATTTTAAAAGTCACCTTCCCAACATTGATTATCAATAATAAAGTGTTTGTTTTTTTTGAGAGAGAAAACTGTTGAATAAATGCATCGTTTGAATAGTTGTAGTATAGGGTCTAGGTTTGTTTTTTAATGAGCATAGATACAAAAATAGCATAATATAGGCAGTTTAAATGTTAAATAGTAAATTAAATATACAAAATGATCCCTTAATATGGTAAAAATGTAACAAGAGAAGAAAAAAAAAGTGTCAGTGTAATGAGTCAGGTGGTTAAACAAAGCAAACACAGCAGACTGTACACTCGTCATATTCTGACATGTCTCCCGCTCTCCCCAGAACACTGACACAGACCCCCCGAGTGGATCCAAGCGTTTGACGTCCAAAATCTCCACGGAGTCCGGAGACGCTCAAACGCATCTGAAATGAACCCGAGTCACGTGACCGCTTTCTCCTCCTGTCGCCATGGAAACGCCGTCAAAGGACCTCCTCTCGTGAAAGCTGCAGAGACGAGCGACGGGCTTCGGAGATGGATACAGAGAGAGAGAAAGTGACAAAGAGAGAGGGAAAGAGACAGGGAAAAGAAAGGGGGGTGGGGGGGAGAACGAGAGAGAAGTGACAAAAAGGGAGGGGAAGAAAGAGAGAGAGGGAAAAGTGACAAAGAGAGAGGGAA